CCCCCCCCCCCTCGACACTAAAGTATTACTAGTACATCACCTGCGTTTCTTTGCAAGTGTTACACATAAATGCCATATGTGTCACTAGAGGTTTTACACTGCTAACTCTGACCACCGTACCACGAATTGCGACAAATTTCCCTGAATAGAAGAAAAGTGATATGATAAATCTGATGAGCTTACCGGAACAGTTTACGTATTTTAAACTTTGAAGATATGTAAATTGTACAAGCAGTACATGTATTTTACCATAGCAATTGGCTTTCAAGTTTTTGAGCGGTGTGAGTGGATCATAGTTGTAAATCCTACATTGGTAAAAGGGAAGAAATTGAAAAGTAGCGCATACAAAAATGTTAATTATTTCAATTGTGGGGGTTCAGTGCAGGAAGTATTCTGCAATAAGTTGTTTCTGAACTTCCTGAAAAGGATCGAAAACACTTCAATATTTTGAACCAGGGTTTGAACTGAAGGAGGCCTTCTTTAGGTTCCTTCTTTAAGTCCTGGTCAAACGAGGATACTGGGAGTAGACGTTTATGCATGAGAGTTTTCTCAACCCTCACGAGTCGTGCATGGTTCGGTCAAACAAGAAGAAGAGTTGCTGTGAGAGTTGATGAGAGTTGGCTGGATGTTGGAGCGCGCCTGTGGCGAAAACTCTCATCAATTCTCGTCAAAGTTGATGAAAGTCAACTCTTACCTACATTTGACCGGACCTTTACATGAGAAAATATACACACCTTGCTTGAATACGAGGCAACTCGAACAGGAGCTGGACTGACGATTGGCTCAAAGCCTCATAGTCGGCGACAAACATCTATAAAATTTTGAAACAATTCCCGCTGCGGTTACATGCGTCCAAGCACAGAATAGAAAATATACTTATTTTGTGTGTGTTCGTGTTATGTACTCGGGTGAAGTGAATATGATGTTTGTGATGTTACTCTGAGTGTGCATCCACACCGGACAAGCTGAAAAGTTTGCCTGACCACGGTGGGAATCGCGGGTTCGATTCCCACCGTGTCCAAGCTAACTTTTCAGCTTGCACTCTCAGAGTAACATCACAAACATCAGAAAATATACTATTTTCATATAGTTTATTTTCTATTCTGTGGTCCAAGTGCGTGAGCTCCCTAGATGAGCTTAAATAGCTCTTGGGGCAAACGATTAAATATGTTTAAAATAAAAAAAATAAGTGCGTCAATTCTGCGGGCACCGTGCATGAAGATTGTGGCGTAAACACTGTAGCCACTGTACTGAAAGCTTTCTGTAGCGACATGAAAAAAAACACCTATCCGTACCTTTGTCTTTGAGGAACGCTACTTTTAAAGGAATTATTTCAACGGAAGGATGCTGCTTAGCTCAGCTTCTTACTTCTTTTCAAAGTAATTGTACATTCCTTATCGGATACGTGCTTTCTCGCGCTATCCCGTATCCGGTATCATGTGAACGCGGCCTGCGACGCTGGCAAAGCAGTGTTAAATTGTTTTTGTAGCTCTTTTATTATATAAAATAAATTGCTATTAAATAGCATGATTTGTCCTACTTGTAACCAAACCTGATAAGCAGCAAGGCTCAAGGCTTCAATGGTTTTAACTGGGCTATCTTTGAGGTCTTCTGTAATGTTAGGTAAAGTTTCCAGGATATCTACAGAAGGCAAACTTACATTGCATTTTACCGTAGTTATATTGTTATCTATAAGTTGTTGTGGTTTGCATTGTCTAGCAGATGAAGAATGTAAAACATTTGACATTTAAGCGTGGACCCTTCATCAGGACATATAGAAGATTTTCTAGGGGTGGGTGGGTGGGGGTGCAGGAGATGTGCACCCCCTCAGAAAAGGTCGGGATCTACCACTGAAATTTTCATGATGTATGGCAATCATGAGACATATTATCAGTGTGATTGTAGGTTGCACCCCCTCTGGAAAAATATGCACCCTGCCCATATGATGAGCCCCTGGTTGGTAGGAACCTGGTCCCATTTTAAGACCCATTATATGATCTATGTGGACTCACTGAGATATTAAAAAAGTCATTTTTAGCAGAAAACATAACACATTTTTCTTGCACCTGCATGTGAAGCAAGTTCCTTGAAGTCAAATTTTATCGATCCTGTTGTTTCAATTTCATCCTGTCAAAATATAGGAAGATTAGATAAATGTAGAGTAAAGGGGGAATAGAATAGATCTGCACACAGGCTATATTGTAGCTTGTTTTGTCTTTTTATAATGGATGATCTAGCTGTCATGATGCAGATGCTTATTGATGAATCAGGACATTGCTTTATGTGGAAAAGAGGAACCATTGTAGAAACTGGAACTTATAGAACTGCCTCTGTTAACAGTACCTGTGAGAACCTGTCTGCACAACTTTCAATGTAATGTTGGAAAGCTTGAATTTTTTGATCCAGAGAAGAGTTGGGAATGTAAGCTGTTGAAAAGATACTTTTTAAAAAATTTTATTTGTTTAAAAAAATTGAATAATTTCATTCTTCATGTGATAGAATGACACCATACCATCATCAGGGAAATAAACATGCCAGTTTTTGTATGGACAATTCACAAGTGTTGTTTGTCGAAGAACAGGTCTAGGTTGGGAACTTTGGCTTGGAACTTGTGGGCTATGATTACCTAGTGCAAAAGCAAATAAAAATAGGTTTTTCGTGAGAAGAGGATGAAGATTTTCAGAGGATGCGCTGTTAGTTTACTTTATTATTACGGTAGGCCACCTATAGACAAGGCAGCCCTTGTAATTGGCCTATTTTTTGCATTGGTGAAATTGAGTCAAGCAACAATATACAGAATGTGAACAGTTGCAAATATAAATTATCAATTCTGATCAGTGTTTGTCAAAGCATTACCCTGGGAACCAGAGGGATATCTTTCTTGGCCTTTATTGCACACTATAGTGCAGTGTTGTAACAAGTCGAGTCATTGACTCTGACTCGAGTCAACTCGAGTCGCTATTTTCAGCGACTCGACTCGAGTCCAATACGAAAAATGACTCGACTCAACAGCCCCAAATGACTCGACTTGCTGATTTTGCCGTAAATGACTCGAGTCAACTCAGCTACAACTTGTACAGAATAAATTCATCACAATTATTGTGATTGTACTCAGCTTGGGAAGAACAATGAGCCCTGTAAACAATGAGAACTTTGAAACTTTATCAGAAAATATATGGGATTTGCATAGAATATATTCCTGACGGGCATACCTATATTACATTTCTGTTTTTAGAAACAACGCTAGTGCCACAGTTTTTAAAATTGAGTCTCAAAATTTTTTGTACTTATACTAATTCTGACAGGCTATTTTCATTTTTGGTATTTATGATGGGCTATATAATTTCAAATTAACTTACAAAGCGCTGTTAATTAAAGTCTATTCTTTGTTAATTCTGACTCCAGTTGCAAGTTTTGCTAGTTGTATGTACGTACACTCGATCAGCAGGCAAGATGAGACATCTCATGTGGTTGTACTGAATATTGACTAGAACTGTGATATTGGCACAGCCTGGCTATAGCTGCCCAGATACTGTTATTAAAGACTAAAGTAATCTGTAGTTTAAAATGCAAATTTGATTACTAATTTCCGACTGCAAGCTAGGGTGGCTCAAGTCAAATCTAGAAATTGACTCGACTCGACTTAAATCAGTGACTCAACTTGACTCGAGTGAAGCCGTTGACTCGACTCGACTCGAGTGAAGCCGATGACTCGACTCGATCAAAAACTGAAATGACTCGACTCGTGACTCGACCTTTGAGTGACTCGACTCGACTCGTGACTCGACCTGTAGGTGACTCGTTACAACACTGCTATAGTGGAGAGAAGATTCTGGCGAAATCAGTTTGCGTTCGCCAAATTAAAAAAACCTCTGGGCCAGGGTATCAAAGCATGTGAAGGTTTCAATTAAAATCAGTCTTAGCCTGGTTAAACATGATTGGCTGATCAGATTAAACCCTGTCAAATGCTCTTGACAAACATTGGTATAGACAATGCTTTGCACTTTCAGTTTAAATTTTATCTGCAACTGTTCATCGTTCAATGGAAGTATGCAACCGACGGTAGCCAAAAATTATGTAATTTGGCTGTTGGCAGATTGCAAATCCGTTAATTTCATAAAGATTTTAATTTATTACAGAACCAACAAAAGATTATATATGTAAATGATGGTTTTGCGAAATATCGGTGGTTTTGCGCAACGCCGCATACTGATAGTGATAGCGCACTCAAGATTAATTTTCAAGAATCCATTGAACCTACCTCGCATATTTCTGCCCCCGCGCCCCGCTCTATTCCCGCGAAAATTGCGCCCTCTTCCTCTCCGGACGTTGCCGCGAGAAGTAGAATTCATATTGTCCTCTTGGTACCAGAATTAGTCTATTTTGGATAAATGTATTGTAATTTCAAAACAATCTCATTTGTTTTTGTTGCCATATTGAATTTTCATTTTCCCGCCAATACAAATCCGCGGAAATTTAACGCGTCATTTTTATCCATTCGACAACAAATCGTCTTTTTGTTAAAATGTACGGATATTTTTCCATTGAACAAGATGGCTGCCAAAGCAGCAAAAAAGTCTGGAGAAATTATTGGAAGATTAAGGACATATATTCCTGCAGGAAAGGCTTCTGCTTCTCCACCATTAGGGCCACAGTTAGGACAGGTAATAGTCTCCTAGTAGCATGCTTTTGACTCTCCATTGCTTATTTAAGTTATTTTTCAGGCATGTACATTGTACAGATGTACTATGTATTAAACTATGTTAATGTACTTCAAAATTTGTTGTTTTAATAGAAAGGAGTCAATATTTCCCAGTTTTGTAAAGAGTTTAATGACAAAACAAAAGACTTCAAGCCTGGTGTTCCCATACCAACACGAATAACTTTTAAGGTAGTGTATTGTGTATATTGGGAATATATAAAAGAATTGGCTGAATTGCAAGCCTGACGGCTGACTGAAAAGTTTGGAAACTATGCATGCTGTAAAGTGCACATGAGTTTTGAAAATTTAATGCCAATATATAGAAAACATCAGAACTATGTCCAGCCTGAACAATTTGTTGCATAATCAAGACCGTCGGAAGCGGGGGGGGAGGGAAGGGGGGCAGGGGACTTGGACACACTTTGCCAAGAACTCTGTCAAGAGTGTGCTGCTACGTAATATTTGTTTATACAAAGTGTCTTACACTCTTACTGTCAGCTATTTAGTAAACTGCCGGCTATATAGTGACTATAGTTAAATATAAAAACTTTTGTTTGCGCTAGCTTTCAGCGAGCTTGCCATAAAGGCACTGCATGTGGAAAGTGAAATGCAGTCAAAACAGGTTGTGTTTGTTTGACTTGGAATTTTTTTTCTTAAAATTTTTTAAACTTTTTTTCCACATTTTCTAACAGATTAGGGTCAGAGATTAGGGTTTGGGGTTGGGATTGGTTTATCTTAAAAAAATTCAACTTTAACCCATTGAGTTGCATTGCACCCTGATGCACCCTACTTTAGTATTTTACTCTGTCTAACGCCAGACGATTTTACTCGTCAAGGGGAGAGCGCTGGCGCTTAATGGGTTAACTATAGTCACGGATAGATACTAGGTTCTATGATGCTGGTATCCACTTGGATACTGACAAAAATTTCAAGTTTCGAGCCCTGGAATTTGCCAATTGCTGACCTGAGACCAGTTGTTGAAATCTCAATCTAATAGCGTTAACCCTTTGTTCGAATTTAACCCACTGTTTTGGTTTGTGCATTTCTGCACATCAGTTTGTTGAATAACATTGGTAAATAAATAAAACTTATTGATCTAGACAAAATTTCTTGAAAACTATTTCTAAGTTTATATACAAGCTGTTGGAAAATTTACTGAAAATATTCTGACATTTTATGCATTTTAGGATCAAGCCTAAGAGGTCTAAGAGTCCCATTAATTAAAGCAAGATCGATGTGCATCACAATTTATCTCTGTATAGTGCCAGTGAATCACTGGCACTATACAGAGATAAATTGTGTTGATCTTATGGTTCAACCCTTGGGTACTTCCACAATAAAGCTGTTAAATTTATTGTTTGATTTTTGTTCAGAATATAACTGTGTATCACTGGCAGTGATACACAGTTATATTCTGAACAAAAATCAAACAATAAATTTAACAGCTTTATTGTGGAAGTACCCAAGGGTTGAACCATAAGATCAATTTTCGGGGGGGGGGGTGCTTGTTGAATTAAACGACAGTAGCATGGTTGAAATAAAGATTTTGAAATAAATAAGACTAAACACAAGGATTCTGAACTAAATTGCCCCCTTCTTTGCAGCCCGAAAAATCTGTCAATGGGTTGGACAGTGGTTTGTTCTTCACATAGTACTTTAGCATTAGCAGGGGAGTTTCACAACTTTTAATAATGAAATGCCTGCCCAGTTTCCAAACCTTAAGCTCCTAAAGCATTATGGCAAACCATCACATTAGACCATTCTGATATCTGATCTAAATTGAATTCACAGGCAGACAGAAGTTATACATTTGAAACAACAATGCCACCCGTCTCATACTTCCTGAAGCAAGCTGCAGGCATTGAGAAAGGAGCCTCTAAACCAGGTATCTGAGAATATATCCTTATCATTACAATATTAGTCATTCCGAAGTTGATGAGAGGACTGGGGACGAATGTTAAAAAGTGCCCAAATTAAGAAATGAACCAAATCACTTAAAAGACCACCTCAAAATTAGTAAGTATACAAAGTTTGAAGACGTTTACATGAATATCCTTTGAATAATAGGCTTTCGAAAATCGTGATATTTACTTTGAAATGTATTGTAATTTTTGTTTTTGGGACGCGCGTCCCAAAAACAATTTTTAAATCAGTAATTTCACAATTTTCGAAAGCTTATTATTCAAAGGGTATTCATGTAAACGTCTTCAAACTTCGTATACTTACTAATTTTGAGGTGGTCTTTTTACCTATTTGGTTCATTTCTTAATTTGGGCACTTTTTAACACTCATCCCCAGTCCTCTCATCAACTTCGGAATGGCTAATTAAGCAATTATATTTATGTAATAATCTGATAATCTTAGTTCATTCTGCTATTTCATTGGTTAAAGCTGTGATCTATTAGACTAATAATTAGAGGACAGTCACAGATGCATGAATGTCAGTATTTCAGTGACAACAATATCTCTAAGCCAATCACTTACAATCTCTCAAAGTGCCATATGAACCATGGCATGCTTTAGTTTTTGTATGGATCTTAGATCACATCAAAAGGGGGACTGGATTAAAACCTGTGTTTGTGTTAGTTTGTGGTAATCTTTAACACATGTGACAAAACATAAGATTTTCAATTTTTTTTGCATCCTTACACAAGCATCAGGCCAAAAAAAAATATGTGGGTTTCCGGTTTCCCGACCCTACCAGTACCTAGCTTTTGGACGTCGAAATCCCGACCCTAAACTTTTTTTATTGTATCATGCTTGTAAGTGTTTCCACTTAGAGGAAAAAGTTTGTGGAAAATTGAAATTTGAGGCAATATTAGGGAAATTTATCTTTGGATGTGGAAGCACTGACTAAACAAAATGGCGTCCGTTTGTTCGGAAAATTAAAAAAAAAGTTTAAAAAAAAAGTTTAAAAAAAAAGTTAAAATCAACCTACCCTACCTAAGTTTTTATAAGAAGAAACCGGAAACCCACATATTTTTTTTTTGGCCTCATGGTCCATGATGGAAAATGCCACCAAAATTAGTTATACCAATATTTGGGTGACGTCTGTGTCGACAGACACACCGGACGCGATTCGACGACGCGATTTTTCGATTTTTACTGACCGATAAGTGATTCTAGTTTTGATATGATTCTAGTTTAAATTTTCCAAATATTTCGAAGCGCTATAACATTAGTTGAGTTATTTGTTCTACATATCTTTTAAAATTTGCTCTCATTTTTAGTTTTTGAAAGTTAATAAAACAACCAGTGAGACTGTGAGAGCAAATTTTGAATGATATGTAGACCAAATAACTCAAACTGTTATAGCGCTTCTAAATATTTGGAAAATTTAAACTAGGATCAAAGTTATCAGTCAGTGAAAATCGAAAAATCGCGTCGCGTTGTCGAATCGCATCCGGTGTGTCTGGACCTTAACAGTTTCATTTTGTTGGTTAATAACAAAACGCCATATATATTTTTTATATTGGAGAAATTTGATACTTTATACTCATAATTGTTTTCATTTGAGTTCCTGTTGTGAGATTAAGGTTGTATATAGTGATTTGGGCTTTCCCTTTTGTGTCGTTTTTGTTCTAATAATAGTATATTCGTTGTTTTATATTATGTTACAAAGTTTAAATAAGTGTAGTGTATAAATATAACGCTCCACTGACACTGAGTATGTAAATTATTTCACTACAAGTTGAGGGCATTTGCTTTGACATTTCCGAAGTCTACGCAAATATCGTGTAAAAGTAAAAGTTCTCGAATCTTGTACGAGTGGATTTTAGTCTTTGTTTATTTGTTCATTCATCAAAATGGAGTTGAAAATCGAGTTTTCTCCCTCCAAGGCTAAGTTAAAAGAAGTACTCCATGCTGTATGTGGGATTCTAAATAGTTCCAAAGAAGGCGGTGAATTGATTCTGTTCTCCGAAAGTTGTCCTTATTCCAAGAAGAACGCCGACGATATTACGCGAAAAATTGAACAGAAATTGGAAACAACGTTCGGTCTTGAGGCAACGCGTGAAATTATTGATAAAATACCGCAAACAAACGATGGGAAAGTATTCGAACTACATTATCAAATTAAGCCAACGACAATGTTACCTTCAAAGCTGTACACAATAAATTACAATCTGTATTGCACAACTAACACACAAGTTCACCATATACCGTCGAGCGAGCCGTTAGAGCATATTGTGGATGTTATAAAAGGAGTACAAACACGAGAAGAAAAGTTCGTTTTCGGTGAGCATCAGAAAACATTTTCCTACGGTGCAGTAGTTGCTTTAGAAGAGAGCAAAGAAATACAATTAAAACTACTGGATGATAAAGTTACCGACAAATGTAATCTTGCAGACAGAATGACGAATGAAGGCAACAAACTGGTTTACTATGTTTCAGCGTTTGCAAACGGCAGTGGGGGACATATTTATTATGGAATAAAACTTAACGAGAGCGGTTCTTACGTCGCGTACGGCCAAACTGTTCATGATAAGGACAAAATAATTAATAAAGTTAAGAGTACTATAGATAAATTGTTTGTCTGGCCAGGCATCAAAGAGTCCTTGAAGAAAGGTCAACAGTGGGATATCTATTTTGAAAACGTCTTGAACACAGAAGAGGCTAAGTATGTCATTGTCATTTCAGTCAACTCTCACGATAGAGGGGTGTTTGTACGAGAACCAGAAAGCTATATCATTGCTTATGTCGAGCCCAAAGATGCTGAGGAGGGGGTCGAGCCAGTGGTCCAATCAGTGAATCAGCCAGGGGTCCAGCAAAGAGTCGAATCAGTGATTCAGCCAGAGGTTCAACCAGGGGTCCAACCAGAGGTCCAACCAGCCCTCCAGCCAAGCCCAAGGGTCCAACCTGTGCTCCGGCCAGTGGTCCAGCCAATGGGATTGTGCGAGTGGATCGTAAGGTTCCTTTTAACTAATTACCGGAATATTTTTCCACATGAAAAATTTCCACGAATCATTGGCCGCTGCGAGTGGAGTTCACCTGAAGCATTAACAAAGCACCTCAATGTGCTTAAAAAGCTCGTAATTCTCAGAAACGACGGACGTGGGGAAGAATTTAACGCGTATAAGAATTCTATAACAGATTCTGACTCAAATACCAAATGTTTAATTCAACAACAGGAAGCAGGCAATTTCTTCAGAAAGAGACTTTTAAATGAAGCTGAAGCTAAGCTGAAGGAAAATGAGGATCTTTTAAACGAAACACCGGGGAAATGTGCTGATGTTGGAATCTACCAGATCAGGCGGTTATATTGGGCGAGCGTTGTTAAACGGGCGCAAGGTAACTATGCGAAATGTCGGGAATTATGCGAAGAAGCTTTACAGGGGTCTCAGCATCAACCCACTATACTGGTCCTACCTTGGATACATTACAATCAAGCTAAAATGGTTGAGATTGATATAGCTAAAGAAGAGGATTCTGGTGAAGAACGTTGCTTAAGAACGACAGCCATGGGGTGTTATGAAAGTGCTCTTCGAAGCTCGTTTGCGCTTCAGGGTTTCCCAAAAAATCTCGTGATCGACTTGCAACAGCGCGTACTTATCGCTATGGCTAGACTTTTGTTGGGGGCTATCTATGATGGAGAACACGTTGTACATAAAGCGTGCTTGCCGTGTGACATAACACACGCTGATTATTTGTTGGATGTGGTGGATGGTTCTGTCGTGAAACAAGGCTGGCCTATGACGAAATTAAGCAAAGCTGAATACCTATTGGTGCGTGCGGAACGATATTACAATAGTTGGATAGAATTTTCCAAACCACAGTTCATCAAGAAAGCCCTCCAACAATCTGAAAAGGCTCGTAAAAGTGCTGACTCGAGAAACTTCAAAGATGTCTGTAATTTTGCTAAAGAACAAATTGAAATATTTAAGAAGTTCGACGATTCTAAACAAGAACAGTAGACGCCTACTCCTGCAAGCTCTGATGACTGAAGCCTCCGTATTTGCAATTTTCGACAGCAAAAGGAAGTTGCCGCCGATAGTATTTCCGTGCTATGTACTTATTCTGCACAAACAGCATTCTTTATATGAAATACAAGTTCCTGAAAAATATAAGCGGTTCTAAACTTCGACGTTTCGGGTTTTCAAGTTGTATTTCGTATACACTATAGTCTGCGTAGCAGGCGGTATATATTTCCTATGAAGATTCCTGTTTGTTCTCATCACTACCCACGCTGGCACAGACAGTTTGAGACTTATTCTGTACGTCGCGCGTAACTGCAGGGACGAGATTGAAACCAGACAGCAATATTGAACAACAATAACTAGTATGGCTCCGTATATGTATTGATTGTATTCCTTATGGAATGTCAATGTTAACTGCTTGAACTAGAATATTGGTAGTTGCATCCATAAGGAAGACATTTTGTTGTTGAACACTGCCTGCACTGGTCCACAACCAAGAAATAATAGTAGAACTTGTGCAATAAATTTACTAGGAGTGATATTTATATTAGTCTGTCCAATTTTCCTTCCTTGCAGGGCCGTACGCAGCGGGGGGGGGGGAGTTTAATTGAGCAATTTAACCGAGAATGATTGAGCCAAATGGCGGTTATAATCTTGTGAATCAGAAAGGCATATAGCACTACGAGTGGATTTGACAGGCACTAAATTTCTATGTTTTTTCCGGAGTTCAGAGTGATTTGCTAGACAGATTTCTGTTGATGTTCTGTTCTTTATTTTAAATTTATTTATTTCGGTTTGATACTCTTGTTATAGGCTGTCAATATGGCTAAATCAATATAGTTTACAATTTACATATGCTATTTTGCGTAACATAAACTCTCAAAATGTTTATTTTAATAATGTAATTAATGAGGCCAACATGTATTTTGAAAACCGATATAATTGTCTTCTGGGGCCGGTTGTATACGAAAGCCGGATAGGGTTTTTCAGGCTTTCTTAAATTTTCTGTTGACTGGTATAGCTGCGAGCAGGCTAGTATAACCCACATTTAAATTTAGTGTATAAAAACTCAAGAAAAGTGAAACCAAGATGGCGCCCATTGACTTCCAATAGCTCTGAAGGGCGTGAACAAATGGGAAACATTATCTTCTAATCGTATAAAGCACAAGGCAATCTTAATATACAAAACTATTAACAAATATACACCAGTCTATTTACAAGAGATGCTTTGTTTTCTCCCAGTGAGTGTGTTTATAACCTGAAATGGTAAACTCTATATCTCAAAACAATGCACGCACAGATTATTTGAAACGCTCCTTTAGTTACCGTGGAGCTTTTTATTGTTTTCTAACGGATCGTATCGCTAATCAAGTTATCAGTTCATAAAACCATAGTGTTATTTTTTAAATCGATGTCAAAATAGGAAATTTTGGCACACTCTCCAGTCCCTTTCTATTATTTTTGTCTGCGCAGTTAACACGAAGATGACTTCACTTTTTGGACCCATGTTCTTGCTCCAGATATATATGGAGCTCTCACCAGTTCGATATATCCATCGGGTTTTCCCCTTTGTCGTACTTTTTTTTACAAAATGTACGTATAAACACTGAGCATGTATTAAAATTCAAGACCAGGTGAGCCTTGCTTTGACATTACTGCAGCCTATGGAAATATCATGTGAAAGTAAGAGTCCTTGTAAGAGTGTGTCTACTGTCTGGAAGTAGTTTTTGTTCATCTCAATGGAGTTGAAGATCAAGTTTTGTCCCTCGAAGATCAACGACAAGACAGACAAGGCAGACAAAGCAGACAAGGCGGCAAAGCCAAAAATACTCGAAGCTCTGTGCGCAATTCTAAATAGTTCCAAAGAAGGCGGTAAGTTGATTGTGTTCTCCGAAAATTGTCCTTATTCTAAGAAAAGTGCGGACGTAATTTCACGGAAAATTGAACAGAAATTGAAAACATTTGGTGTAGTTCTAACGCGTGAAATTATTGATAAACTACCGCAAACAAACGATGGAGAAGTATTCGAAATACATTATCGAATTAAGCCAACGACAATGTTACCTTCAAAGCTGTACACAGTAAATTGCAATCTGTATTACACAACTATCACAGAAGTTACTCATATACCGTCGAGCGAGCCGTTCGAGCATATAGTGGATGTTATCAAAGGAGAACAAACACGAGAAAAAAAGTTCGTTCTTGGTGAGCATCAGAAAACATTTTCCTACGGTGCAGTAGTTGCTTTAGAAGAGGGCAAAGAATTACAATTAAAACTAGTAAAGGATAAAGTTACCGACAAATGTAGTACTAGTCTTGCAGACAGAATGACAAGTGATAGCAACAAACTGGTTTGCTATGTTTCAGCGTTCGCAAATGGCAGTGGGGGACATATTTATTTCGGAATAGAACTTAACGAAAGCGGTTCCTACGTCGCGTACGGCCAAACTGTTCATGACAAGGAGAAAATAATTGATAAAGTGAAGAGAACTATAGATAAACTGTTTGTCTGGCCAGGCATCAAAGGATCTTTGAACAAAGGTCAACATTGGGATATCTATTTTGAAAAGGTCTCGAACACAGAAAAGGCTAAGTATGTCATTGTCATTTCAGTAAATTCTCACGATAGAGCGGTGTTTGCACGAGAACCAGAAAGTTATGTTGTTGATGCCAGTGGAGTAGTCCAGCGAATGCAATTCTGCGAGTGGGCCATAAGGTTCCTTTTAGCTGATTACCGGAATATTTTCTTGCGCGAATTGTTTCCACGAATCATTGGCCGCTGCGAGTGGAGTTCACCAGAAGCGTTAAAAAAGCACCTTGATGTCCTTAACATTCTAGTAATTCTCCGAAACGACGGCCGTCGGAAGGAATTCAACGCGTACAGGGATGAATTACTAGCAAGTTCTGATGGAAATACCAGATGTTTACTTCAGCAACAAGAAATAGCCAGACTATTCAGAAAGAGGCTTTTAGATGAAGCCGAGGCTAAATTGAAAGAAAATGAGGATTTTTTAAACGAAACACCTGCAGAATGTGCTGATGTTGGAATCTACCAGACCAGGCGGTTATACTGGACGAGCGTTGTTAAACGGGCGCAAGGTGACTATGCGAAATGTTGCGAATTATGCGAAGAAGCTTTACAGGAGTCTCATCTTCAACCAACTGGACTGGCCCTACCTTGGCTACATTACAATCAAGCTAAAATGGTTGAGATTGATATAGCTAAAGAAGAAGGTGCTAGCAAGGAACGTAACTTAAGAACGACAGCCATGGGGTATTATGAAAGTGCTCTTCGAAGCTCGGTTGCGCTTCAGGATTTCCCGGAAGAGCTCGTGGTCGGTGTACAACAGCGTGTACTTATCGCCATGGCTAGACTTTTGTTGGGAGCTTTCTATAATGGAAAACATGTTGTACATAAAGCGTGTTTGCCGTGTGACATTAAACACGCTGACTATTTGCTGGAAGTGGTGAAAAATTCTGTCGATGTACAAGGCTTGCCTATGACAAGTTTAAGCAAAGCTGAGTACCAATTGGTACGCGCTGAACAATATTACAATAGGTGGAAAGAATCTTCCAAACCAGTGTTCATCAAGGGAGCTCTCAAACAATGCGCGAAGGCTCTTGAACGTGCTGAAACAGGAAACTTCAAAGGTGTCAGTGATTTTGCTAAAGGGCTGATTAAAATACTTGAGAAGCTATAGGTGATCACAGGCAAGGTAAATAGACGCCCATTCCTGCAAGTTCTGAAGCCCCAGTATTTGCAATTTTCGACAGCAAAAGGAAGTTGCTGCCGATAGTATTTCCGTGTTATGTACTTGTTCTATACAAACAGCATTCCTTATTGCCATTTTAGGAATTACAAGTCTGAAAAATATAAGCGGAACTCCGACGTTTCGCGTGTTTTCACTTTTCAGGTAGTTGTATTTCCTGTTTGCGAAGATCATGAAAAACAAAGTGCTTGAGGTGGGAGACAAGCCCGTAGCTGGCTCTCGATTTCTGGGGGGGGGGGCACTCACTGCACAAAGAATGTAACCGACCTTTTAGATGAACAAATTTTTTTCCGGAAATTATTTTGGCGACCTCCCCCCCCCGCCCCCCCGTCGCCAAAAAAATTTCGGTCAGTGTACCATTTTAGGGGTCAAATATTTTTTCCGGACAAACCAATTTTTCCGGACACACCAAATCTTTCCGAAACCTGCCAAAATTTTTCAAAAATCACACAATTTTCCACAAAATTTACAGAATTTTTTCCATTTTTACAATTGGTTCCCAAGCCCTTTATCTCAATTTTTCATACCCGATTTCCGAGTGGGGGGGCACTGCCCCACCGAGTGAGGGGGCATTGCCCCCCCCAGCCCCCCCCCCCCAGCTACGGGCCTGGTGGGAGAGCGATATCTTAGCAGTATAAATATTTGCTTACATCTTGCGAATGAGATATATGACAAGAAATAGGGATTTTAATGAATAATTGTACTGTTTTTACTGCTCATTTATATATTGCATTTATATTAGCTCCAATGACCTTGAGATGTCACCTGATATTTCGCAAGTGAATGTATATATGGGCGACTGCCCCACTGAGAAAATTTAACTTACTAACTTTACAATGCTATTATAAATGACGAAGCAAAATGGCGCTTATAATCTTGTGAATCAGAATGTATGATTCCTTATGGGATGGCCACGAGCATGGATCTAACCGATATGACTTTGAATGCATTGACTTTGAGTACTTTTTCAGCATCATGGGTATTACTGCCCCCTCCCCTCCCGGTGAAGAAATCCTGCGTATTGTCCTCTGACTTCGTTATGTCGTACTAACACCATCGTTAGGTTCTTATGCTAGTTAGTTATGGTTGGCAAATAATAATAGTAAACTTGCATCCAAAATGCAAGTTAATCTCTACAATAAGTGAAGAAGAGACTCAGCTAAGATAAATAAAATTGTTTGCCTAACTATTTGTTCATTCCAAACGCCATGTTCTTTGGTTTCCATGCTAACTTATTTCCATCGCTATCATAAGGAATGATATTCATGTTGCTCTGTCCAACTCGTTTTCCTTCCTTGTGCCTTGCTTCAGCAGTCTTGAGTCTTGATTGAACCACCATATCTGTTTCCTCCCTGGTTATCTCCACCACAGCTGCTTCGGCTGTCAGTACAGCTTGTTGAGCATTCTTAACAGTTTCCGCTGCCTGGTCTAGCGCTTCTTTGCTCATTTCTGCTGCACGCTTCGCACGTCGTAATTCTTTGATCCTTTTGAACAAATAAAAAATATTAGGTATATGGAATAGTTAGTGTTAAGTATGGTTTACACTGTCAAAGTTTCTGTGATCACAGTAGGAATTTTGCATAGGTAAATTGGATTTATAAGAAATGTTTAAGGAAACTGACTTAGTGCGCTGAACACTGAGTCAGTTGCTCAAACATTTCTTACAAATCCTTCAAAACTTATAATTTACCTATGCAAAATTCCTACTGTAATCACAGAAACTGTGATAGTGTAAACCTGCCTTTAAAGTTCGTATAACTGACGTGCCTATAGTTGTCATTATTATGATGCAAGCACATAGGATAGATAGACCTAATTGGCTAACTTTATTCTCGTCCCCGCCTAATTCAGATTTTCAGATACCTCGCATGCTTAGTTACCACTGTTCTGAAAGTTTAAGCACAGAATGAAACAAAGATAACCATGTGACTGAATTGAGTTGCATTTGGCATAAACATGGATGGCACAGTATCACCTTTCAGTACGAAAGGCATTTTGTTCAATCCATTAAACCGCAATGCGCCTCATAGGATCGCTCTGTACCTATTCTTTCAAATGCTAGACACGTCCTGAGTGGAAGACGATTTAAATCGTCAAAGGAGACCATTTCAAAAGTTAATGGGGTTAGATTGATTTGAAACGGAATTTCACTTTATAAGCAGTTAAAGCCAACTTGAATGTAACCGAGAATGTAAAAGTTTGTTTTTTTAAATTGCTGTTTACCTGTCCGGCTGTTGCGACTGTTCCGCCTTCTTCAACTTTTCCATTATTTCAGCGTGGACTTTCTTTGCCTTTTTCCATTCAGTATTCCCCTCAGCGCAGACTGCTGTTGCCTTTTCTCGGGCGATAACCGCCTTTTCCGAATCATCACCAAATGTTTTTAACAGAAACACCCCGCACTTGTCACCCTGGAGCTTGGCAAGGATAAGTCTAGCATCGACCAGGTGCATTCCCTTGAGTCTTAGCGGGTCGTATGACGTCATACTGCGCACATGATCTGCGCATCTCTTCATCATATCACCATGACCACCAGTGTCCTCGATCCAGGCCCTTCGGATGCCGTTCTCTGCCTTGCCTACAAACACCTGCACAAAAAGATTAACCAGCAGTTCAAGATAGCAGTTGAAGATATAAAATGATGATTGGTCTAAAAATAAAGCATCTATTAAACAAGTTTTTTCCGTCCTACGTTTTTATTATAACTTTATCCAGCTAGTCGTAGGATAAGAATTTTATGCAGTCCTGGGTCTTGATCAAAACTTTACCCAGAATCCCAGGACTTTATCAAATTTATCAAACATGATTAAAACTTTTTCTACTCCTAGTAGATTAAAAAATTTTCTAGTCCTAGGAGCTAGAGTTGATCAAAACTTTTTCCAGTACTAGAAATTCAAATGTTGAGATGAAGATATGCAAACCTGTGTATGACCAATGTCCTTCAATTGTGAATTCGGGCCAATCTGAAAATCATCATTCACTACCACCCAGTAGAGCGCTGGCTTATCTAAAGCCTTTTCCAAATTCGTCTTGTCGTTTCTACTCTGATCACCCTCATTATCCCCTCGCATCTCGTCCGCATTCTCTAGGATATAATTCCGTATTGGCTCATGAATCCATTTGAAATCCTCGTTACTCCTAACTATCTCGACTTCCCCGCCCTTCGCTTGCCAAGTTTTCCAACCTTCGGTGGTTTTGACATAGACCAGAGGGCATAGTTGCTCTTCACTTAGCTCTAATTCACTCGGGCTTCGCTTTAAGCTTTCATGATATAATTCCACCTTCACCTGCGCCTTTTTAGGCTTGTATTTTAAGTGTTTCAAGCTGCCTTGGGCTTCACAGAATTCGTAATAAGTAAAACTAGAAGGAAAGCCTGTTTCGGTAGCCCATCGGAAACCAAACTGATTCTTTATAAGATTTTTCACTAACCAAAGTGGGGCACTTCTCTTCAGATGTTTTGCTAAATCCAGTGGCGAGCTTGCCATAGATAAGGTCTCCTCCCAACCTATATAACACAAGACACAACAAAATGATTTATTTGTACTCTTATACCTGCATGTTTTTACAAACCTGTTGAAGACTACAGTCAGGTATCTTTGTTATACGAACTGTCTGGAATAGACGAAAAGCTTTTGTACCCTATTTAAAGGCTGGTCTATACACTGTCAAAATTTTTGTGACCACAGTAGGAATTTTGCATGGTAAATTCTAAGTTTTGAAGGATTTGTCAGAAATGTTTGAGAGAACTAACTTGTTGTTTTCTTGTTGGTAACTAGTCAGTTTCCTCACATTCCTTACAAATCTTTCAAAACATAGAATTTACCTATGCAAAATTCCTATTGCATGTGATCACAGAAACTTTGATAGTGTAAAACACCAGGGAATGTACAAAGTAATATTTCTTTGAGGTCGTGTGGACAGACACATAATGCGATTTCCAAAACAATGAAAAGACAATGGAACATTCAGATCACTGAATCGTGACTGATATAATTCTTATACTAAATGGTTTTAGTTTTCTGCAATTTTATTGGAGGTAACTACAATTCGGGTCAGTTGTTCAAATATTAGTTTTATTTTGTGAAGTTTCAGCGTGCAGAAACACACAAACCAAAACAGTTGTTACATCCTAATCCAGGGTCAGCGCTAATCACGCTTCGAACAACAGGCCTCTAGGGCCCTGCCCCAGAACATTAATGCATACCAACCTTTACTGAAATAATCATCTAAACATTTCCCATCGTTCATTTCGAGTAGTCCTTCCAACTTTTTTCCAAGCGTTAAAACAATTTTGTCCGATTCATCATCATCGTCATTATCATCACCATCACCATCGTGGTCATCGGCTTCTTCTTGTTCGAGGTCTAGTTTAGTTGTCATTGTGTTGTTAATTGCGACTTTAAGTATCTTAATGACATGTTCCGGGTTTATTTCTTCTTCGGGAAAGTAATCGTAGCCGATGTTTCTGAGTTGTCCTGCAATTTCATGCTTGTATGCTTCGTTTTCTTGTGCCTGCTTCGTTATATCTGCCACATTTTTTAACATATTCTGAACTAGGTCTTCAGGTATAGACTCATTCCCTTGCTCAGTCTGTTCATCCATGTTATTCTCTTCCATCCTTTAGTGTTTTTTCTCGTTTAGTTCATGATTTCCTTGCTTTAGCAAACAAAGAAGTCTATGCAAAAGCATCAATAATATTAAACTCTGGTCTTAAACGAGTAATTACAAGGAATTAGGTTCGGGCTTAGTTTTAGGATGCTAAACTGAAGTTCGCATTGCCACCCGTTACGATTTGATTAGCAGCCAAAACAACGCCATTTACTGACGCTTATAATGTCTTCTATTACTTGAATGTTTGTATATACATAAAGTACATAATGAAACAAAAATGTGCCTTAAGGCCGATTTACATCACACAACTTTAGTAACTTTTTCCTACGTTGGCGTTAGTCGTAGGTGTGTTGTGTGCTTGATTTACACAGTACAATTTCTCATATTTTTGAGTAAAGTTTTTCAGTCAAAATAGTCGGGGATTTTTTGCAATGGGGATGATTTTTACTGAACTTTTAAGGCTCGTTTACATTTTGTGCTGTGATTTTCTCCTGATGTATGTGAACGAGTGGATGATTTATGAATGTTCATATGAGGGTACATATACTCGGGACATTCGTAACTTCTTCACTCGTTCACATACATCAGAAGAAGAAAATCGCACCAGAAATCGCAGCAAAAATTGCAAGTGTAAAGTTGTTAGTGCATATGTCATGATTTGTGTAATTTATTGTTTGTAATCATTGGTATATTTTATGAAGAAATGCAATATATCTTTAAAAGAAAATATTCCATCTTCACAGGATTATCAGGCCTCAAAGTTACCGGATATGACATCAAACCGGGAATTGCAAATTAGATTTCTTTTGTTTCTAGCGTACAAAATTCCCGAATTCCCGTACAAAAATCCCAAATCATGACATAGGCACTTATATTTAAAGAGATTTGATCAAATATTGATAAGGCCAAAAAAAAAATATGTGGGTTTCCGGTTTCTTCTTATAAAAACTTAGGTAGGGTAGGTCAACACCGCGGAAAAACGTCTGCGCATGCACCAAATTATGAAAATATGGCGGGGAATTTGAATATTAATTTCTAAAACAAAAACATGCTTATTATTGGTCAAGAATTAGTAAAACAAACGGGAAAATATAGCAAATGGGTAGACTATACATTAATTGAAAGCGTCCTGGCATGTAAAGTATGGAATGAAATATAATTCATTTAAAAAAATGTTGATTTTAACGGACACGACTTCGAAAATTTTTGCAAAATTATTCAAAACAAAAATTCAAACTAAAAAGTTAAGAAAACTCTCGAAAAGTTAAGCTTCTTAACCCACTCAAATTGTAGAATAAGTCCTAAAGTTTAATTATTGTGAACACGCAAATTTTTTATATTTGGCGACACAGTTTTTTTTAAAGAAATGTATCTCAAACGAAAATTCGGAAATTGTCGTTGCTTAGTTGATAAACAAAATGTTTCAGACGATAAATTTGTCAACAATCACCTTTAGTTCATGTTCTTGTACAATACAATCTCTTGAACCTTCTGGCTGTATTTATTCCTAGTTTTTAGAATGACATGTTTATTTTTGCGCTCGAAATCTGGCTGTAAAGACGCACAATGAAGTCACTCCTTTTTCCCGCCATTTTGAGCCTTCGGAAACGTTCTGAACAGCTTCTCATCAAGTTCGCAATACTATTACAGGTAAGGTTGACGCATGCGCAGACGTTTTTCCGCGGTGTTGGGTAGGTCAGTTTTAACTTTTTTTTTTAAACTTTTTTTTTAATTTTCCGAATAAGCGGACGCCATTTTGTTTAGTCAGTGCTTCCACATCCAAAGATAAATTTCCCTAATCTTGCCTCAAATTTCAATTTTCCACAAACTTTTTCCTCTAAGTGGAAACACTTACAAGCATGATCCAATAAAAAAGTTTAGGGTCGGGATTTCGACGTCCAAAAGCTAGGTAGGGTCGGGAAACCGGAAACCCACATATTTTTTTTTTGGCCTAAAGTAAGGTTAGAGTAGGTTTTCACCTGTAGTAAAATTGGGTAGATAGAGTGATCCAGTATAAATAAAGTCAGTTTAGGTTAGGTTTAGAGATTCAGTTACCTACCTGAAAAATACAAGCAGAACTTCGATGTTGAAGGCCCTTCGACGGGAATTTAGCAATCACGTTCCTAGAGCATGCCCGTTCGCAGGGTAGGGTTGAGCATAACCCTAACCTGCGAACGGGCATGCTCCGGGAACGACGAAGGAGGCGATGGGACAAAAGGGCGTTCGCTCGAAACGTCGAAGTTCTGCTTGTATATTTCAGGGAGTTGTATCTCTTTCAATCCGCACCCCTCTGAGGAGATCAGTTTGGTGGCCTACGGGCTAAAACTAAAACAGTCCTTAATATGAACTTTCTAATATAGGACGCGAGATAGCTGGCTTAGTCACGTTCAAACACATCTACGAAATTGCGAAAGTCAAGAAAACAGACAAAGTATTTCAAAATGCCTCGTTAGAGACTGTATGTAAATCTATCATCGGCTCAGCAAGAAGTATGGGAATACAGGTGATAGATGGAAGAACAGTGGACGATTCTGGCTAAACTGATACTGTATAGGACAATGTAAGGTAAAAGTTATGGATAACTATGGATATCAGTTTTTATGAAGAACGGATGGTATGGGGGTAATATGGAATAACAGTTACGGATTGAATGGGATAATGTTGGATAACAGTTGTTATAAAGTACTGTGGAGGGGGATAATCGTTGACAACGGTGGTGGTCATGCAATGTTACATCGGTTACAAATTGCGACAAACAAATTAAACATTTCTCTATTTCACTCGTTCGGCACCAAACACAGAACAATTTTGTATAATGAAATTAACTAACATTATTTTCTCACTCTTGTAAGTTAATAACTGCCGGTTGACAATTTGAAACGATGTTGAAATATTCAATATGTTATGAACGTCACATATACTTGTATTTAAAGCAGGAGGTCTCATTCTTCTATTTGATTCCCTTTAATAAAAATTAAACTCGAAAATTAAAATTAATTAAAGGAACCGATTGATCTCTATGAAATATTCAGGAAGTGATGGCCAGCGTCCATTATCACTAAAAGACCGCAATGTGCTATGAACATTTGACTCTTTGAGAGGCATCTTTTTACACCTATAAATTTGCTGTTGATTTGCAATTATTTAAACATTTCTCTATTTCACTCGTCCGGCACCAAACACAAGACAATTTTGTATAATGAAATTAACTAACATTATTTTCTCATTCTCATAAGTTAATAATTGCCGGTTGACAATTTGAAACCATGTTGAAATATTCAATATGTTATGCGTAACATATACTTGTATTTAATAAAGCAGGCGGTCTCGTTCTTTTATTTCAATAAAATTAATTAATGGAGCCGATTGATTTCTATAAAATATTCAGGAAGTGATAGCCAGCTTCCTTTATCACTTTCAAGACCGCAATGTGCTAGGAACATTTCACTCTTTGAGAGGCATCTTTTTACAGCTATAAATTTGTAAATTATAATTAGACACTTATAAATTATTTAATATTGGAAATTTTAGTGACCTCTTTAGGGAAGGTTCTCACAACTGTATTACGTATTTTAATTGTTTTGATTGATTCCACTTAACCGCCCACTGCTACGCATCAGAGGCTACGCATGATAACATCGGAAGCTGAATACCTCTGATTTATTACGAAACGATCATATTTTATCGAAGACCTCGCATGAGACATTTGCTCCGTATGGATGACTATGCCATTATTTCGCTGTTTTGTAGTGTCTTTAGTTTAAGCCACTGTCTCATTCAGTGACCGCTTGAAGACAATTTGTGACAAGTCTCTCAGTGACTTTTCTTGAGGATAATTTGTAACAAGTCAAAAGGTAAGATTTGTTTATGACTTCCTGTTTTAGTGACTTGAGATGATTTCAATGTGTTTCAATTCAATCTTCAATCACTGCTGGATTATAAACTTGACCTCGGGACGGTCTTGACTATGAAATTCAGTCTATCGATTCGAAATTTTATATTGTCTGAATGTTTGTATTGATGGTAGCTAAATGTGGATTGTGGTAGTATTTTATATGCTATCTAAATATGTGTGTCAAAGTGATGACCAGTAGAATTAACATTTCATGCATGAATACACGATTTAATACTCGTATGAACTGCTAGCCCGCTCAGCTAGTAGAATAACTGATAGTAGAATCTATTAATCACTGATAGTAGAATTAATTAAGTTAGCACTGACACTGTATTGCCCAATACCGGTAACTGTCAAATCGTTTCGTATTGGCTTTTATTCACAAACAGCTCACTTCATATGAGAATAAAACTAATTAAAACATTTATTTGTTTGATTGAATAAATGTTTAGTCTTATATTTACTCTTGCTAAAGCGAAATCTTCCGATGTCAGTTGGATGACTGAGCTCATGATTTTCTGTGACGGTTATTTCCTTCAGTTCTTTGTTGGAAATTCATATAGAGTATGCCCGTTCGCAGGTTAGATGAATTGGGCATGAGAATGGGAAATTCTTAGTGTATGGAATTGGGAATTATCTTGACCACACTCCCTTGAATATGATGTTCGAAACACTGAAGTCCTCTATTGTCGGCTGTCAGTAACACATTTTGTAAAATGTTATTTTCAGACTCCAATAGGCAATTCCAGCTTTTAGTTTATGCGTGCAGGGGATGATGGGAAGTAAGGTATCACATTGCTGATCATGCTGAAAAATTTCAATAAAAACTGTCGAAACAACCGAAATATTTCAATATTTACAAGTATAAGCTATCACTCCGTGTTTACACGGCCACCATTTTTATTTTTTCAGCATAATCACTAGCAATATGATACCTTACTTCTCATCATCCCCTGCACGCATAAACTAAAAGCTGGAATTGCCTATTGCTGTTTCATGGGAACCCTTTGCATAGCACTTCGCATAAAAAGTGCCATAATGCGAATTTGCGAACGTTTTCATTTTTTGGTTTTTATCCCATATATAAAATTTATGTGGTATAGACCCATTGCACATGACGTCAAATTAGCAATCTATGTATAATATAACTTTTGTAAACAAAGCAAATTTTGCAAAACTTTATAATAATTTTGTATTAAAATGGTTAATTTTTGGGCTGTATGTGGTCGTTGTACCAGAACAGATATTGTTAGGGAGCATCTGGAGGACACTCTAAGGATTTGTGACATCAGTGCAAAGGGTCTATTGTAATAAACATCTGGTTTCCTACATATGTGTATTATTAGTCGTGTTTTTCATTAATTTCAAATTAATTAGAAATTATAATTTGTTTCTGAAGCGGATTCATTTTTACTGTTTATTTCTTTACAGAACAGACTCGCACATACCCTTCCGTCAACATGGGGACACCGACAATTCAAGCTACATTAAACTCTACAAATTTCAGTTCACTCAACTCTCCAAATGCGGAATCAAGTTTTCACATGAACTACCAGGCCGTTCTAGCCGCAGCCGTGTTTGAAATCATTATCAGCCTAGTGGGGACAGTGGGGAACGTATTCACTATAATAGCCGTACTCCGTAACCATAATCTCCAATATGCTACCAATTATCTCATCGTATCCCTATCCGTCGCTGATACCCTAGTGTGTACTATACTAGTCCCTATGAGAGCCTCTCAACATATTGCGTACCAATATGACGATACTATACCAAAAAGCTTTGTCGACGTTGCTGGGTTTGTTGGAAGAGTGAACATAATCGCTTCTATATCAACTCTTGTTTGCCTCAGTATCGATCGCTACCTGGCCTTGTCAAGACCGTTGAAATACGCGACCTCGATAAGGTACAACCTTTGGAAAGTTCTAGCTGTTATCGCAACGGTATGGATCCTGGCAATATTCATCACAAGTCTGCCAAAGTTTCCTGGTGTTTCCGATACGCCTTTCCTGATTTTCTTTATAGTATTCGTGCTTACGGCAACTTTGGTGATATGTGTAACGTATTACCGTATCTTTCATATAATCGCCAAAACTGTGCGGCGAATGGGTAAACCTATACGATACAGTAACAATTTTCAAGAAAGTTCCCATAAAAACCGTGCTACTAAAAATGGGAGTAAGGTTTCTAGCGAAACTCTTGATGTAAACACCTCTGCGAACTCGTTAACTTTGGAAAATAAAGCTGCTACAGTTTCTAGCGAAAATCTGGATGGAAAAAGTACTGGGGACTCGTCAACCAAGGAAATCAAAACTAACACAAAAGTCGCCCCAACCTCTCTACCGGAACCGCGCGCTCCGTTTTCCCGCGAAGAGCGCAAGGCCGCAAAGACCGTCGGCTTAGTTATTGCCGCCTTTATTCTACTCGTTTATCCACGGATAATTATGATCTTGTATCATTTTGGCAACAAGCAGACCTCCAGTTCTAAAGTAGCCAGATTCTGGATGCGTGTGTTACTCTACGCAAATTCAGCTGTAAATCCCGCTTTTTATGCCTATAGGCATAAAGGTTTTCGTAAAGAGTTTAAAAAGATGGGGTTGCAGTGTCTAGGACTGGGACGCGCCATTCGTGAGCGCTATTCGACAGTTATAAGAAAAGAACGTTCACAAAGTTCCAATTCGACATTTTACGCCTAGTTTCAGATACTCTTGTGTGTTACGACGTTCTATCGTATAGAAGTAAGTTTAGGAGAGGGAACAAGCGATTAATAGTATATTTATTGGTGGGTTTTAGCAACCGTTACAGGGCAGCAGATGGCAGTCAACTTCAGAAATGTCGACGAGTATGAGAATACAGTGCCATAGGAAGCTCTTTTTGATTGGGGGGGCTGAAAATGAGGACCGAGTCGAACGCCGCAGGCGCGAGACTTTATAGGGGAAATTTTTGAATTCAGAGTCTCTGAATATGCGATTTCCTGGACTTTGGGGAAGATTTGACAGAATTCAGAAGGTCAGAAAACAGCGTTATAGCCTGATGATTTTGAAGTTTGCATGATTTAAAAAAAAGAATGATTATTAGCGAAATATTGGGGGTGGCTGCAGCCCCATAGCCCCTCCCCCTCGTGGCTACGGCCCTGGAATACACCCTTCTGGAAAGAGAATACACCCTTCTGGAAAGTACTTAGTTTGGCTATTGAGCCTCGTTTCCATGTTTGAGATTTATATTCACTATATAACTGTATGGTTTCGTAAATGTGTCACCTGTAACAAAATAAAGGGCTCTAAACTCAATCACGAAAACGAGGCTTTATAGCCAAGACTGAGAACTTTCCAGAAGGATGAATTGATCAGAGTTGAGAAGCGAGAGTTTACTTACATGAGAGTTCTCAACCACATCTATCGATTCTATTTCCTGGAAGTGCTCCTCAATTTTTCGGTGGGGTGGAGAGCCACCAGTCTATTAAGTACTTTTTGCCACAAAAATACAAACGAGTTTCTATCCCCTATTTCAGGCATTGTCCCAAAATCTATACCCTACTTGCCACAGTAAATTAGCCCCATTTTCTCACTCTGATAAATGCAGGTTGACCACCATCTGTAGCACTAACCTTAGCTATAGTATTTATCTATATGATATTTGTACGGTTTTATTTAAGATAGAGACTCTTACGCCCGTATTCTAAAAGCTCACATTCAATGAGTGGAGGTTCAATCTGGAGGGCTAGTATCATACCTTACTCGGTGACTACTCACCCTCCAGCTATTCAAAAACAGCATTGACACTCAAGAGAAGCTCAGATTGAACCTCCACTCATTGAGTGTGAATGTGAGTGAGCTTTTAGAATACGGGCGTTAGTCTTACAAAGTTGTGTTGTAAAAAAACTTTGCTATATTTTAAGCTTTTAATATCGTATTATTATCAACTATAATAAATCATATAGAAACGAATCAGAGTTCAATATAATCTTGAAAACCAGAGTTTAATACAATATTGAAAACATGGTCGGATAATATGTCTGACCATCCCACGTTTTGATCGGACATAACCGGACACTAACAATTTTGGCTACAGGAAGTTTGAAAGTCGGTAATCGATACTTCACTAGTTGCTCCACATTGATTTAGGGAGAAATCATTCAAATTAGTGCTCCAAAATGGTCGGCTATAATGCCCCTGCAAAGCCAAGTAAAGCAGTCAGCAGACAATCGTATTAGCCGGTTCTGCTCGGAAAATGGACGATGGCCAAATGTTGTATTGAACATATACTGTCTGTAACCTGAGAATAGAGAAACAGATTTAGCACTTCCTAAGCCGAAGAAAAAGTTTGGCGAAAGGTGCTTCGGCTACAATGGTTCCGTACGTTGGAACAATCTTCCTTATGAGGCAAAAACCATTGCATCCATTGCAGAGCTCCTTTAAAACGATTCTGAAACAAACAATGAAGCCGGCTCGTTTATTCTATCATTTGTCTTCTTGTTGTGTCATGTAGAGAGTATACCCTTGTAATGTTCCTAAATTGTTTTTTTGCATTGTAAATTTGTATTCATGTACACGCGCTTGTTGTTCAGGCTAGCGTGTTTAAATAAAGTCTGTATGTATGCATGTACGGTATATCGATAAAAAGTGAAAGCAGAGTGAATGTCTATAGACCTCATGAATGCGCTTCTTACCGCGAGGGAAATTAACATAACTTGCCCTCTTTATTAGTTTATTTAAACTATTCATGTAGCAAGACCACAGAGTTGCGCCTGTTTTATATTCATGTTACTCAATTTTTACTGGTACCTGCACATAGAACGCAAAACCGCGTTCTGTAGTACTAATATAGAGACAAGTTCGATTTTGATATTTTTGAAGTGCTGTAATCGAAATAGTATAGTTTGAACATTTTAGCCTGAAAATGCCTGTGCAACCTGGCGAGGGAATGGTATGTTATTCATTCACTTGGTTATGTATGATCTGTTCTTATTTTTTCTTTTTCAATAAACCGTTGCATGTAGATTATCTACTGTATTTTTATACTGAATATAAGCTATAGCAATATTAAAAGACTTAACGATTATCAGTATACATTTATCGATTACGTTCACCAATTATTCTACTGATTTATCGATTGTGGGTTACAGAAAATGAAGATTAAAAAGCCCCCAGTTTGAACAAGTTTATACATGCATATAAGTTAGAAACTTCCAATTTTTTTCTGTTGATGCATGAGTCATTTTTGCTACATTTTGTTTGCACTGTAGTTTACATGCAGTCTAAAACCCTGTCAAACGAGGATAGGAGTTGCAACTCTCGCATTTGACTGCCAATTAAGTCTCATATCGACACTCATCATTGACTCTCATCGACTCTCACCACCTTAAACACCTTTGAACAGTTTCAAATTTTGATGAGAGTTTTCACTACGTGCGCAGTGAAATCCAGTCAACTCTCATACAACTCTTGTCGAGAGAGAGTCGAGAGAACTCATGCAAATTCTCGCTTTTCAACTCTCATCAATTTACCTTTGAACAGGCTTAATTTTGTTATTGCGTATGCCCGGGTGTCTCTCTCAAAAAATAATGCCAATAGACCTTTCCCCTTTTGAGTAAAATTTTGATCTAGACAAGTCTGGACAAAAATTTCATACAGCTTGAAAGAGCATCACAAAATTAGTAATATTCCGAAGTTTATATATAGCCTTGCGAAGTTTGCCGTTTTTCAGTCATTTTGTATTACAAATGGGAAATTGATAATCAGTTTGATCATCTGATTATCAATTTCCCGTTTGTAATGCAAAATGACTGAAAAACGGCAAACTTCGCAAGGCTATATTATCCGCATTTTACAACATTTCGCAACGAAACTTTGGAATATTACTAATTTTGTGATGCTCTTTCAAGCTGTGATGAAATTTTTGTCCAGGCATATCTAGATCAAAATTTCACTCATAAGGGGAAAGGTCTATTGGAACATTATAGCTATTGCGTTACTTTGGAACAAGCATAAGCCAAGTCAAAAGAGTTGCAATGGCATAATGTGATATACATAGGCATAGGCAAGCATATGTACACACTTCTGAGCATAAGCTGAGGAGAAAAGCGAAACAAATGGCATTGCGTATACGGTATCCCCAGGCAAGTTTTATTAAATACTCGATAGCGTGAAGGGGTAACGAAACTTAGCTGTGATATTCACCACTTTATTTTCAGAAACTACTTACTGAAGATCAACTCGAAGGTCAGTTATAATGTCGATCATATAAGTAATTTGATGTTTTCCCATTCTATTCAATTTTCTTTATATACTCGGTTTTATTCTTTTTTATCAATTTCCACAATTTAAATACAGCAATACAATCCTAATAAAAAAAACCAACCCAAATTCTGAAGCCGATTACAGACAAGCATTATTAAAAAAAGGTCATCAAGTTTAGATTCCTGTCAGATTAAGATTAGATAAGGTTTAGATTAACATTATATTAGGGTTAGAGTTGGGGGTTAGATTAGGGTTAGGTTCATTGTGTGCAATAAGTTATTGCATACAATCGGTTTACAATTACAATAGATTACTGGTTACTGAATAGTTTATCATAGATGGAAATTATCGAGTGGAAATTTATATACATTTATTACACCTAACCAGGAACATCTGCGAAAAATTTAACTTTTGGTCCTTGGCAGGAATCGAACCTGGCTGGGGCCCTGCGATTCCGGTGCAGCGCTCGAACCAACTGAGCTACAGAAGCCAGTTGTCTAAATGTTTGAACCGAAGATAAATGTATATAAATTTCCACTCGATAATTTCCATCTACAATATCCTTCAAATATTATTCAATCGAGTGAGATGCCAGTAAAATCTTTATCGTGGCGGTTGGAAAACAAAAAACTTTTCATAGAAAATTTGTTGTACGTATACACACGTGTAGGCCCCGTTTACATGAGACCGGAACGAGGTCAAACCGGGACCACTTCGATTCGGTCATAGTATTATTTATAATAGATGTTTACATGAGATCGGGATGAAAATAACTCAGACCGATCTCAAGTCATTCCGCCTGCTGGACCGAGCCGACTGACTGAAGAGTTCAGTTCAGACCGGCACTGGAATTCAGACCGGGATGAATGTAAACACAAATACATTTCAGACCGGTCTCGGCTGTAACCTTGATATTGGAACAACACATGCTAACAAAAGCCATCTGAAAAAGAAAATTTCCTGGCAAGGGGAATAAATTGAAAATTTTGTGATTTTTGTACCAGTCTCATGTAAACATGTTCACAATTTCAATTTTCATTCCGGTTTGACTTCGTCCCGGTTTCATGTAAACGGGGCCTAATTGAGGAATAAAACTTGTCATACGAAACCTCGTAGAAACCTTGCTCGTTTGTTAATCATATCATAAAAAATCAAATAGTCCAGTTTGCATGTATCTGAAAGTTTTATCACCTTGCAGAATTTCGTGATGCTTTTGATCTCTTTGACCGTGATGGGAATGGTAAAGTATCAAGTGATGAACTCGGTCCTTTAATGAGGAGCCTCGGATCTAATCCACCGGACGAACATTTACAAGACCTCATTAACGAAGTCGATTATGATGGTATATCAATTAAGATATAATTTGTAACATTGGGCTGGTCTTAGGGACGGACCATTAGAAAAGTGATGGGGAGGGTGGGGAAAACAAAAAATCCATGCAAACAAAAAGGGTTTGAAAAAAAATACATGCATCAGAGTTGTTTAAAATGTGAGAAGATACATTAAAAAAAAAGCACATACACAGCTCACAACCTGGAAAAAAAAATGCAAACTTAAAAATTTTAACCCCCCCCCCATCACTTTTCTAATGGTCCGTCCCTTACTAAACTAAACTAAGGACTGACCATTAGAAAAGTGATGGGGGGGGGGGGGGAGAGGACATGGCTTAAAATAAATATCACCAACATAATTTGTGCCTTGTTTTCTTTAAATAACTCATATTTTGTGTTCACAAGATGGCATTATTATTCGGAGTATTCTTTCGTATATTGATCAGACTAGTTAAGTCGTCGCTTATTGCAAGGCCGTGGGAAGCTTGAGCCACCCCTCCCCCCAATAATTTCCATTTGTATAAACAAAACACAGAAAAGAACTAGGAATGTGCGAGAGCAATTCAGATTTATTCATATTTATTTTTGAGCCCCCTCAATATTGATTTACTTGCGACGGCCTTGTATTGGTCCAGTATTAATTAATCGGGAGAAAATCGGATTACCTGAAGTTTTCTTCTGGTTCTTCAGTTCCCTCCTAACAAAGGATGACGCTTACTGCACTTCTCAAGTGAACATTTTGGAACTGCAGCTGTTTCGTCTCAATAGCTTACACCTGCCATTTAGCTTCTTGCCATCCTTAGTTACTAACTATTGTTCAAAATGCAGAAGAATAATTTCAGATCTTCCAGAGAATTTCAGGGTAATTTCAGAGAATTTTAAACCTTATTTAGTTCAATGATATTTACCTACAACTACATACTACTTGGAGGTATTTTTGTAAATTTTATACATTTATTCTCATCGTGTACAGGTGACGGTGTCCTAAACTTTACGGAGTTTATTGATTTGATGGTAAATGATAGAGCAGATATTGATGTAGATCTGGAACTTATTGAAGCTTTTCATTCTTTTGATACTGAGGACACAGGTATGCTCAATGCTCGATTGTCTAAGTTTTTGAACCGAAGATATATTTGCATTAACAACATGAAGCAAGCTTCGGATTGATAGGAATGCAACTAGATGAAAAATACAACGAGAACCTCAAGTTAATGCAAGCAGAACCGCCAGTTCTCCTTGTATTTTTCAGGTAGTTGTATCCCTATCAATCCAAAGCTTCCTTATTATTGCCACTACCAAACTGGTACATGCAGTTCAAGATATATTAACGACAACATGGCTTTACTTCAAAGGTTTGATCGATTCAGCTGACTTGCGTGAGGCATTCCTCCGTATGGATGAAGCACAGGCAGATGTCGAGGATATTATCGATGCAACGAATGTCCGAGTTGACAGAAAAATCACATATGATGGTATGTACAAAATGACTGGGTTAATATTAGTAAATGGCCATTTTTAAGCCCTGGGCAAACTAGGAAACATTGTGGCGGAAACATTGTTTCCTGCCAATGTTTCGCCATGTCAGTCCCAGAGTGGGCAAACACAAGGAAACATTAGTGAGAAACATCAAATGTTTCTGTATTTGGTAGGAAACATTTTTGCTTCCCGGGAAGCAAATTTTGTTTCCGCAACAATGTTTCCACGGGTGGGCAAACATGGAAACATTTGAGGAAACATCGAGAATCACAAATGTTTCCGCAACAATGTTTCCTAGTTTGCCCAGGGCTTTATATTACATGGACCGGTTGTTCAAAAATCGGTTAGCTTATTAACCCTAGGTAAACCTAAAATTCAAAGCAAACTTTCCAACAGCTTGTCTATAAACTTGGAAATATTTCTTCAGAAATCTTGTGTGGATCAATGAGTTTTTTTCTGAAGTTTTGAAACAAACAGATCTGCAGAAATACAGCAACTAAAACAGCAGCTTTGAACAACCGGCCCCCAGACGTTAATCCGAAGACGTTATTGTCGCCTGAAGATATCGTCTAATTAACCATATTTACACAAAATATTAATGTCGTCTTGTTTGCCCCGTTGTCTTTTCTAAATCTGTCTATATAATATTGTCTCTAGTGTAAAATAGGCCAATATTACATAGTCACTGCAAATATACTCTTCAATGATGTTTTGGTATCTTTTTGTAGAATTCGTTGCATTGACTGTTATACAAAAGTAGTTTGAGAATTTTCAAAAATTCTTCCACCGACATTTAATTAATTGAAGAAAAAGGAATACTAGAGTCTCATTTTTGAAACTTTTTTTGTGCTCTTCAAACAAAAGTCATGGATCAAATGAAATCGTGTGTAGTCACCTGTAAGTTTGAAACGCACTGGGTATATATGTTTAAAACGCCTGCTGCTATAAGAATGTTTATTTTGAGATTCTGAATGTAAACTTACTCAATCTTGGACATAACCGCTTGAGGCTATGTTTCCCTCTGTGCAAAATTCGCAAACGCCTTATAATAAATTCCATGTTAAATCATGTTGCGCTTCGCTCCCCAACTGAATGTTGAGCTTGTTTGATGGTAAATTATTAAAAGTTGTTTCGGCGCTGTTTACAACATATTGAACTGGTGGACAGGGGGTGACGAAGTTTGTTTTGTCAATCTGCAATAACTTTGTAATATTGGCTGGAACGGTCTCAAGGATAATGTCCAAGATTGCTCATACTTCCATAAGATACTTCAATTAATAAGTGAAATATTACATAAATATTGGAACAAACGGGTTTTTATAATCGGATATAATTAATACAACAACACTTATCATCAGTTAACTAATACAATTGATTATTAATATGTAATAATAAATAATTAAGTGAAAACTCTTGAATTATTTTCATTAAAACAGTATGCTATAGCCTATACTATTGTTTTCAACAAATTTATCCAGCCCCTACAATGGGCTTTTTGTTTGCTAAAGTTGTTTTTTGATATACAATATGCAATATTCTTGTGTGTTACAGCATGTTTCAAGTCATGGATAAACTGTGAAACATTTTTGCAGAAACATTTGACCATTTCAACGTTTTCTTGAATAACGGCCTTGCTTGCCCACCCTTGAAACATCCCATCAAGAGAAAATGTTTTGCAATAAATTAGAAACTTCTTAATTAGCCACTAATTAGCATGCTAATTAAATTACACATCACTGCTTTGCAGAACAAGTATGTCAGTATAGATCTATAAACTTGAAGAGACCAAAGGGTATTCAAATTGCTTTGTACTTTAATTTTTGTTCTCTTTTAGTAATAAAGAGTGGCTGCAATGGTTGTATTTGAACTATCTGAAGAGTAGAAACACTTTGGCATTTCGTAGGGATGTGCTGGATTCGGATACCGGTATCGAGCAAAATACTGTATAGACATCCGGCACTATCTGGTAAAAATTTGCCTGAATTTACCAGATAGTACTAGAACTTATATTTTAAGTTTTCTTGTGATGTAAACTGCTCTCTGCTGTGTATTGTCCTACATACTAAACAGACAATGGACTATTTTATGACAAAAAGTTAGTGACAAATTGTCCAGGTACCACCATCAGGTAATTATCTGGTAGACCATATCCAGTACCATAAACATGTGGCATATCCCTAGCATTTCAAGCGAAACGTCAAAGTGTCTGTCATGTTTTTCAGGTAGTTGAGGCACCAACCATGGTAGCCTTTTGGAAAGTATTTCTAAATTGCAACCAGAAAGGTACATTATAAATGTCTACATAGTATACTGTATATGTGAAGTTTTATTCTACATTTTATACAGAATATTAACAGCATGCAGTGAGATATTGAGGCAAGTTTTCCAGAAGTTCAATAATTACAGTTAGGTCCATATTGCCATTCGAAACTTTCTGCTGTTGTTTAAACATCGACAACCATTTTTTTATGTACATCCAAATTACCGACCATCTGAAAGACAACATCAAAACAGTAAGCAGGGACAGGCCAAACTAATAATATAAACTCCCTTTGATGAGTAAAATTGTCTGGTGTTAGAGTAAAATAATACAGTAAGGCACATCAGGGCACATTGCCACTTAAAGGCTTAACATGATGGGGCAGATAGTCTGATTAACCCATTGAGTGGCAGCACTCTCCTCTTGACAATTAAAATTGTTTGGTGTTAGAGTAAATGGCTTTGAAATCATTCACTCCTTACCTCTGAGAATTCACTAAAAGATATTTTCCCGTCTTGATCTTTATCGGCATACAATATAGTTTTGTCTACAATTTGTTGAAGTTGAGTGTCTTTTAAATTATTGCCCACCATCATTTTTAGGACTTGAAATAATTCACTGTTTGTGATGAAACCATCGCGGTCGATGTCGTAAATTTGAAATGCAACTAGATGGAAAAAAATAGAATTATAGCATTTGTGGTGAATTGTGTAAAACTAGGAGCTGGTTGAGCATTAACCTTGGGTTAGAAATTCAACCTGCTCTTAAAAAGTATGTGCATTTCTGTGCATCCATTACTTCAAAACTTCAGAAAATAGAATTTCTATTGATCCAAATAGAATTTCCGGATAAATATTACAAAAATTATAAACAAGCTGTTTGTGTTGATGTTTTTTCTGTTAATCTAGTGTTATGGTTAGTGGGCAGATGTGGGGGGGGGGGTACAGATCGGTGGCCAAGTGGTTAGCGCACTTGCCTTTCACCTCTAAGGCTGCAGGTTCAAGCCTCAGTGAGTACTTTCTCAATGCGACTCGAACCCAGTCCTCATGTGGAAAGAGTAAAAGTCAATGCTCTGCCGAAAGTTTTCCCTGGGTACTCTGGTTTCCTCCCACAGGGAAAGTTGACAGGGTGGGTTAGGTGTGGTACCCCTGCCCTAGTTGGCAAAGCTAAATAAATAAATGATCTTCTAGGGGCGGGCAGATGTGGCAGGCAGAAGTACGACGCTTCTAGGGGGTGAACCCTCTGGTCGGAAACGGACCTTTTCAGGGTTGTATCTTGAAAGGTTTTAAATGGTGCATCACTCTGGAATCATAGACAAAGACCGCTATACGACTTACATCTAAGTTTAGACTCCTTGTCACCTTTTACACTAAATTGTGAAACACCTTCAATGAATTCTAAAAATGAAAATGTAAATAAGGTAAGTATTCAGTAGAATTGTTACCAATCCCTAGACAAGGCCTTTTAAATCTGTGTTTTCATGGGTATATTGCAATCATGTAAGCAGGTGTATATGTATGTGTGTTAGTTGGTCACTTGGTCTATCTTTGAATTGGCAAGTATGTCTACTTTACAGCAACCTACCTTTAAAATCAACCTCTCCATTCCCATCCTGGTCAAAAATTTCTATAACTCTCTGTACTAAAGGGTTTTGCTGTAGCTCTGGTAAAGACATAAATTCTTCCACAGACAAGGAACCAGAATGATCCAAATCTAATTTCTTAAATCTTTTCCCAAGACGTTTTATTTCTTCTGGTTCAACTAGAATAGGGCAACAACAAAACAACTTGTTAGTGCCACAGTGCAACTTTAGTTGACATCGTAGGACATTTTTGTCAAGAAACCGTTTTAAATTAGCCACACAAATTTTCTACACAAATTGTAAGTTTTAAGATTTTTTAGTCCGTGCTCAGTGAAAGTGGTCTCCATATTTAAAAATTGTCTGGTGTAAGGGCAATAATGAATCTAGTATTTTGTTCCGTTCGAGGTCAATAATTTTATCACTGTTGTGACAATTAGCCTCGTTAATTTTTCATTAGTCCATTAAATGCCCACATTTCCCCTTGATAAGTAAAATGGCCTGTTCTTAGGCTGAGCAAGATAAAAGAGGATGTGTTAATTGCATTTAATCCCTAACATTTTTCAAAGAAGAACAATAAGCCTTCTTTCTTTTTAGTGCTTAATCAGACAAAAATATTGAAAAAAATATCTCATTCTTCAATGGACTTTACTGAAATCCAACATTTGCAATTTTTGACTTAAATAAACTGACTATTAAAGACATCACTCCATTCAATATTTCGAGGTCTCGCATTTAATATCATGCGCAGCAAAATCAGTCTAAAAAAGTCTTCCCACAATTTTTAGCTCAAACTTTTCAGTACAAATAATGGGATCAAGCCAAAAATCTAGTTTAATAGGATTAGCTTGTTTTATATCTGATAGCCAAGTTCTGCTGTAATACACAGTCGAATATAAAGAGTCCAGAGCCTAAGGCAGCATCATTATAAAATCTGGAAAAATTTATAAACGATAAAAAAATATCCAAGGCTAGAGTACTTACAATGTGTAACCATGTCGGCCGGTAATGTCAGTTCATTCCCCTTGTAACGAAAAATACAATATTACAACCGGTAATAGCTAGGTCTAGCTAAAGTAAATTCCTACTGTTAAAAACAATAAATTTTAAGGGGAACCACAAACCATTTCACACAAAACGAGGGAAACGTTGACAGATCGTGAGATGTAAATAAAGCATCAGTTTTCACTTGTTGCCATCTGCATTTGCCATTAATATACAAAGCTGATTGAAAACTTTCTCATGTCATTGAACTAGACCTGCCAGTCGCGTTTACAAAATTGCTAAAAGTTGCGATTTAATACGATGTTTGCAGAACAAATCCCTTGAGCATTTACAAAGCCGATTCGAAGATTATTCTCCGAACAAATGTTTCATTGTGAAACTGTTTCGCGCTGCGCAACAAAAAACATTAGATAAGGTGTCAACAACGAATTGAACATTTCGACTTACCATTACTAGATCTGTTTTAGCCAATAAGTGTTATCCTAAAATTCCAAAAAGATGAAAATTGCCAAGTTTTATATGACAATATTTGCGATAAGAATGAAAGTGAAGGCCAAGCCGATTTCAGGCCAAACATCCGGGAAGCCGCCCTAGTGCCAATCTCCAAGACAACCGCGCGAATATTTTTTGAATTTTAAAAATATATAGTATACAAAAAATTCTTTATTATTTGTACTGTTACTGTGTTACAGTAACGTTTTTTCATGGCATTTTATCCTTTTCAATGAATGTTTTAAACATGTAGTTGCATTGTCATTCATGGATATACTGTTCACATGTAATAACTAATAATTAATGGAATTTGGAGAATGGAGATCAGTTGAGTTGACTAATTTGACTGTGGAGTAGTACCAGAGTAGTACATTTCGACATTCGTCTTCTATTTCGAATATTTCTCAGATTTTTTGAGCACTTTATTCTGGATTATTTGAATTTGACAATAGTCAAACGAATGGCAATTGCCAAAATGCTAAAATGCTTGATTTCTACAGCTTGGAAGAAATATTCCATTTAGACCATTTACCATAAATTTGCAATAAATGTTCGGGCATACAGAATGTTTTTGCGGGTTGAAGGGCGAGTGTCGAATATCTACCTTACATTCTATTGATCATGCGTATATTGTCGTTGCTTATCCCTTTTATATTTGGTAAAACTGTCAATTGCACATTGTACAAAAGTGCTGCAAGAAATATATGTAAAATGTCTGATGCTGAAAATTATTCCATTGCATTTGTTACCATCAGTGATAAACAAGCAGCAGACAAGCTGTCAGAGTATGTATGAATTTAATATTTTATGTTCACATATATTTTTAAATTAAATAACTCCTTTCTCTACATCTGTACTAGTTGATGTAGATCTTTTATCATATAAATATGAAAAACCAGAAATTGCAGTATATTCCATATAAACTTGACGTACAATTGTCTCAAACAGCAGAAAATATTTTCAACAAATGACATGATTAAAAAAGTGGAAATTGTTTCATTTTTTGGTAGCTGGCTTGGGCGGTTTTGCCTATCAAAACCGATAGATTGTCTGATTCTAAACCGGTAAAACCGGGTTTTTTTCAAAAAAATTGTGTAAACCTAAAATGACTTCCGTTTTAAAATAAAACTGTCAAGAACCCATTTGAAAACTTGTAACTCTTTTAGTTCTTACTGACTTTATGGAAAAAATAATATATAATTTGTATCTAAGTGTCATGATGTAATTGAGTTTAATTAGTTTCATGTTTGGAGAATTAAGATCGAGTTTTGGGTGATGACAGTAAACAATTATGTAATGACGGTTTGTCGGTTTTCCAGTTTTTGTAAAAGCTAAACTGAAAAAACCGGTTTGAAAATAAAACCGAAAAACCCCCCGGTAAACCACCCATGCCTAAGCTGGCAGAGTTCTACCCCCGCAGATCCACTTACGTACCTATATATATGCCACTTTATATGAAGCAGGTATAAAAGTTGGTCATAGTGCAACGCTCATATCTTGCACACAAAAACTGTCATGGTTGACATACATCAAATTTTTTGACATTTTAGTGAGATGCTCAACAAGAAATTGGTTGCATGTGTAAATATTGTTTCAGGTGTAGAGTCCAGGTAGACAAAATTATCATTAATGATCCTTTCCACTGACTTTTTCATATTTACTGGCAAATCTCATTACTAAGACCTAACAAATATTATATAAAATTAAGTTTCTTTTTTTACAAAGGTATGTTTGGGAAGGTAAAGTAAATATTGACAGTGAAGTTTTAATGGTGAGTTTTGAGTGTTCTTTTTCATGAGAAAATATATCTTTAGTTCCTATACTCTATAGCAATTATTTAGTATTAAATAATTTCCACAACTTAGATTATCAAGACAAGAACATCTAGATTAAAAGAACTGGGTGAGCTGATTAAGTAAGTGTCTTTTGATTTTTTCTGTGTTGGTGTTATGTATTCAGGTGAATATGATGTTTGTGATGTTACTCTGAGTGTATATCCACACCGGGCAAGCTTGAAAATTATGCCTGGTCACGACCAGACCGCGTAGCTCAGTGGACGACTTACGCTTTAGAAAAATTTTTAATCTGGGAATAACAAAGGATATTTTCTGAAAGAAGTTATCGAAATTAGAAAAACTGCAAAGTTTGGTTGCGAAATGTTGTAAAATATGGAAAATATAGCCCTGCGAAGTTGGAAAATTTGTATACATTTCTATTACGTGCGGAAATTGGTAACTAATTTAGTTACCAATTCACGCACGTAATACAAAAGTATACAAATTTGCCAACTTTGAAGGGCTATATTTTCCGTATTTTACAACATTTCGCAACCAAACTTTGTAATATTACTAATTCCAAGACGCTCTTTCCAGCTGTGGTGATAGATTTCGTTGTTCTTACTTAGATTAAAATTTAGTCTAAAGCGCAAGTCGTCCGTTGGCAGAGCATTGGACTAGTATTCCAAAGGTTGTAGGTTCAATTCCCACCATGGCCAGGCATAATTTTCAAGCTTGCCCGGTGTTGATATACACTAAGTGTCTTTTGTTCTCATGAAAACAGATTTCTAGCCACTAATGAGTAATGGTGATATTATTTAAAATGACTTTTTTCTCAACTTGTCTTACTCACATTCTCTATTTGCAAGATCTGAACCTCATCCTTATAGTTGAATTGTTTTTAGGGATAAACATCCATATGACTGCCCTGAATTCATAACTACAAAGGTGTGTTAAGTTTGGAAAATCAGTCAACTTGCTTGCTCATGTGAATGAACAAGCCCCATTAATATTGTAAATCTAAATGATTCTTTAATTATGTTACAATAGATTGATGATGGGAATTCTGCAGATCTAAAGTGGTTAGGGAAAACGTTCCAGAAAAGTAAATGATTACAAAACACAGAAAATGTTTGTAGTAAAGTGGGCCACTTAGAGGGCCACTAGGGAGAATACGTTTTGTAATTGGTACCTCGTTAAATAGAGTTTATTGTATTGTATTGACATTTAGTAATGAAAACTTTGGAATTGGGACACTGTTTTTCTTACACTACAATCAGCTTTATTAAAATAGCCTTTGCATTGTGATTTATGTTGAGAGTCAGGGCTGGAATTTTATTGCGGCACTCACGGCATTTGCTGTAGTTCGAGAAAAAATACCGCTCCCCATTATAGACTCCCTCAACGTACCTGCAAATCTTGTAAAAATACCACCCTAAAACAGTAAGAAGAAAGCGAAAAGGCGAGCAACTAATCACAGTGGACAACGACAGTTTTTTGCCGTTAGGGTAGTGTAAATTTTTCAAACTCGTAGTCTGACTACATACGTTTCAGAAACCTGTACTTTATGCACCTTATTTTAACACATTGAATATTGAGTTTGTACTAGCGCATCCGTACGCCGCAACAACCATCGCCATCGGCGTACCAGTCAGGTACGACTAAAAATCTTATCGCATCCTTATACAGAAAAGTAAATTTCTATCACGACCTGTTACCTACAATATATGAAAAATGCCGTAGTCTTCCGTAGTCGTAGAATTGGCGAAAAATGCACAGAGCCTCTGCGCTTACGGTAATTTTTGACGTCATTGCCATGGAAATGTTTCAGGGAAATTCCAGACCTGTTGGCACAAGATCAGACTCAGGATCAGTTCATCTGGACCAAGCCTACAGAAAGGAAAAAAATGTCGCAGTGCTTGTAAAGATAATGGAAGATGTATATTATATAGCAGGGCCGTAGCAACCGGGGGGGCTGCAGCCCCCCAATAATTTGCTAATAATCATTCTTTTTTCAAAATCATGCAAACTTTATCATTTAATCTGTGACAAACTGCAAAGAATGAAGATATTACTCATACTCCAGATCGTTCCTCGCGTAGAAATTTTAGCTGAATTTCTGTCGCGCATTTTCAAGAAAATCCCACAAAATCTGCACATTTTGATGAACTAATGATTTATTTTGTCTTTTGCGTGTTGGGTCTTGCGAAAGAAAACTCTGAAAATGCCATTTCAGACCATCTAGAGACTCCAGATTTTCGAAATTTTCTCAAATGTTCTGCCTTCATTTCGCGCAACTGCCATTTACGACGAAAATTCCCGCCGCGCATTTATAATACTACAGTCTGGCCCATACTTTCCTGTAAATTTCGACATACTAAAACGCTGTTTTCTGACTATCAGAATTCTGTTAAATCTTCCCCCAAAGTCCAGGAAATGGCATTTTAGAGACTCTAAATTTAAAAATTTTCTCGGGCATTCGGCCCTCGCTTTCAGCCCCCCCAATCGAAAAGAGCTTCCTACGGCCCTGCATGAACTTGTGGTTAAAGTTCGATAACTGGACTCTGTAGCTCATTAATGGTTGGAGCGCTGCATCAGAATCGCAGGGCGGCAGGTTCAATTCCTGCCAGAGGGCCTATAGTTGCATTGTTTTGCAACTGCTCCTACTGTACTTAGGTCTAAAAATGTATAGAATTTAAGCTCGAAATTTCCATCTACAAAAACCTTCAACACTTAATGGTTATTTTTTTGTGTGTGTTGGTGTTATGTACTCAGGTCAATATGATGTTTGTGATGTTACTCTGAGTGTGCATCCACACCGGGCAAGCTGAAAAGTTTGCCTGGCCACGGTGGGAATCGAACCTGCGACCTTTGGGATACTATAGTTCAATACTCTGCCAACTGAGCTATAGCCCAATACTCTGCCGACCTTGTAGCTCAGTTGGCAGAGTATTGGACTATAGTATCCCAAATGTCGCGGGTTCGATTCCCACCGTGGCCATGCAGGCAAACTTTTCAGCTTGCCCGGTTGTGGATGCACACTCAGAGTAACATCACAAACAACTTAATGGTTACATACATAATTTAGTTTATACCGCTTTTAGACAGGGTGTGGTTACCCAATTCACCCGAGGTTCATGATGCATGCGGTAAATACCACATAAGAGTTCGTTTTTGGGCATGGGGAAAACGAGTGCAGCATTGAAGCACAAGAGAGAGCCAACATCGCTATACTTACAATGTCACATGAATTTTCAAGCGTAGGAAAGTTACCCGACCTAAGTCAAGCCATACCCTCTACCTATAATAGCAGGCTTAAAAGGAACACAGCACCGGATCTGACCCACTCAAAATTTGCTAACAATACATCCTGCCTCTCTGAATCTGGCCTCTTGAACACTGAATCTGATCAATGCATGCAAATAACTGGCAGTTTTAAGCCTGGTTACGGATGAGCAAGTTTTCTATGAACAAGCTTTCGTTGGTAGGAATGCAACTACCTGAAAATATATAAGGGGAATTTCGACGTTTCAAGCTAAGGACCCTTCGTCTGGAGTTACTCTAGACAAAGGGCCTTCGCTCATAATGTCAACCTGAAAATATATAAAGAGAATTTCGATGTTTCGAGCAAAGGCCCTTCGACTCCAGACAAAGGGCCTTCGCTCCAAACGTCGAAATTCTCCTCATATATTTTCAAGTAGTTCCATCCCTAGTCCCTACCAACAAAAGCTTGTTCATTTGATTGCCACTACCTACACTGGCAAAGACAGTTCAAGTTTTCTATCACAAGTTTTCATATGACAAGTTTTATTTGCTCGTCTGTATGTGCAACTTTGCCAACTTTCACTGCGACACAGAGACTGCGACAAGTACACTTGAGCTAGCTTTTGAATAAGCAAAGTACAAATTTTGTTCGTCTGTGTGGGTCAACAAAGAAAATTAATGGCGAAGCAATTTGAGCACTAGCACACGGTTGGTCAGCAATTTATTGTTGTAATAGCTAATAATAGCTATCATGGCAGCCAGAAAACCAAAAACTTTGTTATAGAAACTTGTTGTGCATACACACATGCAATTGACAAAGAAAACTTGCCATACTGAATATATAAAAACTTGCTCATCTGTAACAGGCTTTTATATACATATACATATGTACCCTTATAAAATAAGTGCCAATCGTTACATATAAATACACAAGTATTGATATTTTCATAAGTCAACAATTGTGAAACTAAAATTATGCTCTTAGATGTTCTTAGAACGTCAATGTTAATCACACATAATCAGACAATTAGAATATTTATATACTATTTATAAAATTAATTTACAACTAGAATGTTCTAATTGCTGCAAAATGTAACAATTTTTCAGACAGTATATGCACAAAGAAAATCATGAAAATATTGATCGTCTGACATGGCATATTTTGAAACTATTCAATCAATGCATTATGTCAATTGAGAAATTGACACAGACAGAACTGGGTACACAATACACAGCTGTCACAAAATATTTACATGTGGGATGTATATTTTTTCTATGTAGCAAACAAGAACCTAATATCAACTATACTAAACTAGCTATGCGGGCGATTTAGACAAAATCAAAGAAACTATAAGTAGAAAACCCCAATAAAACCTTCATAGTAGCAAACAGATAAAACCTAATGACATTAGCAGGGGCATATTTCAGCCAACAGTACGAATTTTTTTATCAATTGAAGTGCATCCCCCAATAAGCTGGCTCTGTTAAAGCCGTGTCATTCTTTAAAAATGTTTTTTACTTTTCTCTCGAGATACACCAAAATTATCCTCAAAGCATCCTGGGGAAACAGAACGGGATTTGTGAAGGAATAGGCCAGCTCAATTTATCGAGGTGTTGTATTTAGCTACATAGTACATGTTTATATATAATTTGAATAACGTGACTGCTCTTTTGAAGCATAAAATATCTCAAGTTTAGTGCAATATTTTTAAGTATAAAATACAACGATTAAAATATATGCTAGTATATTTAACATTTGACACATAACGGACTAACATTCCAACTCTAATCTCTAGGACTGAGCGACATGATTTGTATTCATATACTATATATACAAACGTTATCAGACATAAACATCAGAACAGCGCTGTTTTAAAACCAATAATTCCACTCACTTGTTGTGCGACTGGCTCCAAGATGGCCTCGATCGTCTTGGTATGAAACACAGGCATGGTTCTGCGTAGTGTACAGGAATAGCTTCGGTAAAGTGTTTTTTATTTGCAGTTCAAAAGCCAAACGGTATCCAAGTTTTTGAAGGGAGGGGGAAAGTGATATACGAGACAGCTTTATAAACACGGGTGGCACGCCGGATGTAGGAAAGCGTACCGGAAATCAACAACCGGAAGTGTACGCAAGCCCGGAATTTTTGCCAAATATGAGAAAACGAAAAGCGCGCGATGAAATTCGATCTGAGGATTAACAGTTCGAAAATTTATACAGGAATGTTGAATATTTACATGCCGAGTTTAAAACATGTACAAATAAAGTTAGAATAGGTTAGATTTCCTCTTGTACTAATACTGGACCTTTGTAAAAAGTCTGCGTTGTGACGTTGTTTGCGGATAAAAGGAAAACTCCGCACAGCCAAATGACTTGCCTGGTTTATCCACAAATACGTCACAAGGCAGGCTTTTTAAAAAGGTCCATAAAAGATGAACCTCAAGTTAGTTTACGAGGCATTTTTTCTATATCGTGTATTTGCGATGAAGTGTAAACCTGTTTTAGCTTTATTCTAGCTCTAGTTTATACAGTTGGCTACCTTTTTAAATGCATTTACCCGTCGAAAAACATAGATAAGATTATGCCGTTGTCTGTTCAATTATAGATAAACAGTATGACATCATAATGCGTGAAGAACAAAAAGTGGCTCACGAGCCGCCAAGGTGAGTGGGTCACTTTTTTGTTTTTCCATCGTAAGGTTTTGTGCGAGGTAATACACCTTTAGGATAATTACGTCAGACATACTTTTTGGTCTTGGAGCCTCGCTCTCATTAGTGAATTACGCAGGCTGATTGGCTCACAATTCATGAGAGTGAGGCTCCCAGGCCAAATGACGTAATAAATTATCGAGAGGGTGTATTCCGTGCGGCTGTTCTCTAATAGATCATGATCATGGCTCTCGACCAGTGAAAGCGCTTGAATTCTTGACGTTATTACATAAAAAAATACTAAATTAAATAATTGTTTAACTCAATTATCAATTAAATTGTCAATGATGCTTCAAAAGTGACGCCATATTTATACAGCAATATAAGCAAAACTTACTGAACTTCAGAGTTCAGACATCATTTTCTTTTTGGCGCACCATATAAAATCTCTTTATTTTAGCATTATTTTACAGATAAAACACTAAACATACTTTTTTTAAAGTGTGTTTGCCGATTGAAAAACGTATCGAAAAATAAAAATTTTGAATTTAGTCATAACCAAGAAATGAGACCTTTTACAATTGCTGTTGTGTGTAGAAAGGTAAATTTACAGTTACAACTTTGAAAAGTCAATTTTGGGTGGGGGAACTAGGGGGTATTCCCCCAAAGAGTTTGAATCTAAAGCTCTCAGGTTTTAGCAAAGATTTGTTGGGAAGTTTGAATTTCACCCAGGGTTAGGCTAACCCAGCTTTAAACAACTAACCCCAGCACGTGAAAATAAACCCTGCATGATTAAATCGACAACACAAACACACAATATTCCTAAAAAATATTGCAGATTTTCCAGTTGTTTTAAAATATTATTACAGCTGAAGATAATCAAAGTCTATTTAGAAGCTGGTTGGAAAATTTACATTATATAACAAATTGTAAAACTGCGAATGAATGAATATGTTATTAACATTTGAAACAAAGTATTGAAGATCTAACTAATCATTACAACAGTCAAACTGTACCACGATAATAAGGAAAAAGCTCTTGGGCAAGTATAAAGCAGAATCAGCGATTATAAGATTTGATCAAGGCAAGTAGAACGAAATCAAACACCACAGCTCGTACGAGCGTCTTAGAATGAGTAAAACTGCAAAGTACGATTTAATTGCAAAATGTTGTAAAATGAAGAAAATATAGCCCTGTGAAGTTCGCAAATTTTGTATATATTTGTATTTAAGCTGGAGTAATACGAGCAACAAAATTGCTGCAACTTGCAACAAAATCTGATTTCAACGCATGTTAAGTAGAAATGTTGACACATGTTGCCTCCTGATTTGTAATGTGTGTGTGAACATTTTCAATTAACATGCGTTGAAATCAGATTTTGTTGCAAGTTGCAGCAATTTTGTTGCTGGTATTACTCCACCTTTAGGCGCGGTAAAAATACTCCCACTTTCCGCGCGTAATGCAAATACGTAGAAAATTTGCGAATTTCACAGGGCTATATTTTCCTCATTTTACAACAATTCGCCACTAAACTTTGCAATTTTACTCCTTTTAAGATGCTCTTTCCAGCTATGGTAATGGTTCGTTCTTCTTGTCTAGGTCAAAAGTTTGTCTGCAGCTGGAATAGGATATTCAGAGGATTGCGCATCAAAATGACGCGGTCTGTTTCGGGATAAATCAGTTGCAGTTGAACTAAGACTTGTCGCGGTGACTGGAAGAATTAGAATATGCATATCAAAATATTCAACTGTTCGATCGTAATTTGACAGGGTGTTAGGCACAAGATCAGGGCCGTACACAGCGTGGGGGCAGGGGGGGGGGCAACTGCCCCCCTGGAGAAAACTATATTTACGATTTTTACAATGTCATTATTGATTATTCTTTGGATATTTGGGACTTTTTTCGGCATATAGGCCTTACTGCCCCCCCCTGTGAAAAAATCGTGCGTATGGCCCTGCACAAGATTAAAAAATTCGGCAATTTAATGAAATTTGGAATTTCAGTTAGCCTGCGAGAATTTCTCGTAGCCTAGCGCCAGCTGAGCTAAATTGAAAGTTTTGAAGTGCTTTTGAAGTCATCTGACATTGTTTTGCGTACTAAAAACAGACAAATATACATTTTAGGCTACATCCTCGCAACACTTATCTGGTACCTAATCGTTTTTGAGCAAAGTTTTGAAGTTGAACAATCTTTTACATAATATACATAATAGTTACGTTTGTGGCTGATCGAAATTGTGAAATTGCTGGCTAAAAGTAATTGTGAAAACAGCGTATAACGCCGAATTTTTGACTGTAGCTAACACCCTTTTTGAGCATGCAAAAAGTTGCTGGTAAAACAGTCGGTTTTCGCACTTGTATAACAGACTGGTTTGTCTATTGAATATTGTGTTACGTGAATCGTTTTGTTCGGACAAAAAATGATCTTTCTTGAAAAGGTTTCGTTATTAATTTCTAAATCACTCCGAATTGTAAACATAAAAGCGTACTGTTTGCCAGGCCAAAGTCCACGTGGACGCTTGCCATGTATCGGAGATATAACGGCTTATATAAACAGTATAAAAAGTAATATAAGCTAATAAGCGCTAAGTAAGCCCAATGTATTTAACTGAAATAGTAGTTCAAATACATCGAGTTAAGAGGTGAACCATTACATATCCTGGGGGGGGGGGGAATTTTCCTTTCAATTTTTTTTAACGTTCTGAGCATTGTTGAACTTTTGTATTCTATATATTTTTGTATACTTCATGTAAGTTGCAGGAATTTCCCTAAATGCCTGCAAGAAGTTGTTTTTCAAATTCCAGTTTTTACATGGATGTTTTTTAATCCCCCACCCCCCACCCCCGGGATATCGAATAGTCCACCTTTGACTGCATAGTTCTTAGAGCAATCCAAACCAACTGCACTAAATCCCCGTTTTCCTCCGTGGAAAACTATGTATACTAATAACAAAGACTAGTCTACTACCTTCGTTTGTCCAATAAATACTCGGAACCTTGGGATCAATGTGAAATGCATCCTTGGATAAATACCTTCTATGTACCTTTGTACCCGTTTTTATCCACATTTATCAGAAATATCCTTCAATTTCCTCGAATACCTTCTGTGTACTTCCTTCAAGAAATATCCTTGTTTATCAAAACATGTCCTCTTTTATCATAGGATTCTCATATTTGCCAATATTGATCCTCTTTTCCAAGAGATACATTTGCGTATCAATAGATATCCAAGTTTATCAATATACATCCTCATTTATCAATGAATATCGTTCAATATCCAAATTAATAAAGAATACCATTATCCACCACTAATGTGTATTCCTTTCCAAGATATACCCAGATGATCCTATGTACACATTGCTACCCAAAGATGACACTATTTATCCATGACTACTCCACAATACCCTTGATATCTTGGATATTAAGCTATAATGACCAAGCCTATGTTCTACATCCCACCTTCACGATTTCCGGCGTGGTGGATTGGAAATGAGCTGTGCGGAGGGTACATTTGGGGCGGCATATTCGAGGGGAAAAATTGTTGTGGTGCCGTTTGCACATGATGTGGAAACTGATATTGTCCTTGGCCAAGCATGCCCGGCAGGAACTTATTTCCAGCATAATAGAGTCCAGGTTGCTGTGCGTACGCTGCGTAAGGGTTTGCCGCCTGCATGGACAGGCGCGGATGATAGAAGCGCTCACCTTTCAAGTTAGATGCGGTTAAACTCTCCACGGAAAACTTGGACGGATGCGATGAACTTGTATCGCCCATTGAACTGGGGTTGCCCTGCATCCTCATGGGTGAGCTCACTGCCCCCAGGAACGGGCTTTTGTTGGGCGGGGGGCCTGGAGGGGCTACATTACGTGCAAGGTTCAACGAGTTCGGCCGTTGTGGTAACAAGTCTTGTGCAGTATGTCCAGCATAACCGGGTATCCTTGAATCACCTGGCATACTGTAACCCGATGGGATACCCTTATCGACCTGTAAATCATGTTTGTCAGGGTTTGGCGACTGCCGGGCTAGTTTCACGCCCGGATCTCGGATGTTCTGTTGTACAATGTACCCTGAAGTTGGAACGCCTGGAGAAAACGGTGACCGCTGTCCATCTTTTGGCGAGGCGAGAGAGGTTGGTAGTCGAGGGGTGAGGGGGGCGTGGGGAGTTTGTGGTGAATTTGTGTTTGTCGGTGAAGGTGCGCCTACAGAACTTGCACCGGGAAGGGTGTTTAGTTCTGAGGGGCGAGTGGCAGGGTAGGGAGGTGGGCTACGAATGCTTGAACCGAGTGGCGATGATGAGGAGAGGCTTGATCCGGGGGATAGAACTGGTAATTGAGGTGCTGCCTGTTGGGGTGCGAGTGCCTGTTGGATTGAGGGTGCCTGCGATGGTGGCGGTTCTGAGGATGGTGGCAACGTTGTTTCCTGATCTTGTTGAACTTCAGATTGCTGGTCGGGTGTTGTTACTTGTTGTTCCTCAGGTTGTTGTTGAGCTTTCTGCTCGTCTTGTTGCACCATTCGTTGCGCCATTTGATCAGCTTGCAGTTGCCCTTGAACGTTAGCTTGTTGCTGCAACTGTTGTTGTTGTGGTGGAAAATTTTGCTGCTGTGGAAACCTAAACCGCTCCTGGTGGATGTTCATCATCTGCTGTTGCCCAAACCCAGGGGGAATGTGACCAGGATACCCACCAAACGATGGCCTCACTCCCCCCTGATCGTCCATACCACGTGGCATCCCGACAGGGGGGAACACGCCTTTGGTTCCATTGGCAGGACCAAATAACATTTGCTGTAGTTCATCCACACCCATCGTATTCCTGGGTTCCATTTGCTGCTGATGCTGTTTCAAATATTGTTGGTATTGTTGCTGCATAGTATTGAATCTCGGGCCCATACCCATAGGCTGCATGCCTGGACGACCCCCCGGGAACGTCGCTTCCACGTTCTGCATGTGTCCAGGGAAATTGCCATAGCGATACGGATTGCCGCCTGAACGATTCATCATGAATTCCGGAGTGTTTCTTTGCAATCGTAGATAGTGTTGGTTCTGCGGCTGAGCCATATGGTAGGCGACAATCGACGGTACTCTGCCTTGTATTACGGCTTCCGCAGCACGGTTTGCTAGCTCAGTTGAAAACATGAATACACGATTGGGAGGGTGCAGCAATGCCGCAGGTAAGATAGTTTTCTTACGTTGTTTTGGTCTTTTAGGACCATCGGAACCATCTGAATCTGCAAGAGAAGGATTATATCAAATGAAAAATAAGTCAGTTGAGACTTGTAGCTTAACCCATTGACCTGCAGTGCACCCTACTTATTTTTTTTACTTGTCTAATGCCAGACGATTTTACTCGTCAATGGGGAAGTTCCGCAGCTTAATGGGTTAATTTAATGCATCCAAATGATGCTTTGTTGTGAGCTACAGTAGGACAATATTGCAGTCAAATTATAACATGTAGCTTGGCTGTTTTGGCTTTGGAGGAAATTCATTTCCAAAATTATTTGCAATTATGGAAATCTGCACAAAATTTTTCAGATTGTAAAAAACTGCAAATAATTTCTGACAAATCTGCACAAAATGACTTTGTGAACCAAGAACCAAGCAGATTTCTGATCTTCGTATTTGACAAAAACACTTTGTTTCTGTCTGCCATAAATTTTCTGTGAAAGTATCTTTCACACAGTTTTTTGCCAGGGTGCATTCCATGTAAACTCTACGCCGGAGATACGCCAACATAATGCAACATTAACTATAGATAGTATTGTAATTTGTCAAACTCACGCCGGATATCTTCGCACTTTTGTGCACAGAATGCACCCTGGGAAAAAACCCACAGAAAAAATATTCAATCTGGCATAAGAATATTCAATTGTTAAGATTGCCTTTGAATTCCTCATTACCTCTGCCACAATATACCCACATGCTCACATATACCCCCAATGTATACCCTCATGTATAGCCCTAAGTGCTCAACTATACCCCCACCTATATCCCTCATTACTCACCTATATCTGCAAAATCCTCTTCTTCAGACAAAACATCCTCTTCCTCCCACCATTCCTTCTTCTTTTTCTTCTCTCGTTCCATGACACAACGTCGTTTTGAACGATATTGAATAAGACTCGGTTCATCACTGCCTGGTGAGATCATACCGTGCTGACCTCCTGGGCTGCTAGTATTCTGAAACACAAATGTAAAACTCATTGAGCAGCAGCACTGAGTAAAATAATAAAGTAGGGTGCATTAGGGTGCAATGCAATTTGATGAGAGTTGACTGAATATTTCTGCACCTGTAGCAAAAATTCTCATCAAAATTTGAACCACTTTGCAAAATGTGCAAATCCAAAAATAAAAATTTTGTGCGTAAAGGTGCCGTTTCACTATGCAAAACTTCTCTCACAATTTTGTTGCGACACAAATTGCACGCAAAATTGCAAGGTGTATCGTGCCTCACAATCAACAAGTCTTGCAATATTTTTGTTGCAACAACCATTGCACAAAGTAGAATCAGGTTCTACTTTTTGCAATGATTGCGGCTGCAATGCATTTTTAGAGCATTGCACAATGTAACATCCCTCTTGCAACTAGTCTTGCAATGTTTATACACCGAATGGCTTTCTATTGGCTTTTGACTGACAATATGGCACCAGATGTTAGCAGCTTTTACACTATTTTTAATAATTATCATTGCAAGTTGCAAGCCTCAAATTTAGCGGCAGCCACTGGCCATCGATGCCCTGCTTGTTGGCCGCTATGCCCTCGAAATATACTGAAATCCACTGCCAGTAGTGGCCTGCCCTCAACCCCAGACTACAGTACTTAGGTTTTAGAATACCAAGTGTATGATTTGTAAAATTGGCAATAAATTTAACATAGTATTTAAATGCACCTTTCCATCAGTCTGTCTGTTGAATCATGCATTAAAATATCCATAGTTTTGTTTGGCATTTTTTTGAATATTGTTGCTGTTCTGTATATTTTCTTGTCTCATGAAAACTCAAACGTTATTTCAAACATCAAGATAGCAACTGAATAAAATTTTCAAACTGGCCTTGAATCTTGATGCCCTGTGTACTGGCCTTGATGCCCTGAAAAACTTTGTAACATTCAAGGACAAACTGGCCCTGCCTTTATTTTTCTCAAATTCGAGGCCTGAAGTTGCATGGAACATATTGCTTAGTGTACAGTAACATTCCTCGCAGCAATCCTGAAATCTTTTTTGTTAACATTGCGAGACAAGTTCCGAGACAGTTGCTTAGTGTAAGTCTTAGTGTTGCCTTTAAAAGTCAATCTTGGCACAAGACATTCTCGACTTGCAAAATGCTTTTGGAATTTTTAAACAATAAAGGAATTATATGGTATTCCAGTACTGTACATATATAAAGATAACAAGAATTCCCTACCAGATGTAAGAAAATTTCCGGGAAAATTTTTTGTTAATAGACGATGCTATAGACAAAAATTTGATCTAGACTAGAAGAATGAAACCATTACCATAGCTGGAAAGGGCAACTTAAAATGAGTAAAAATTGCAAAGTTTGTTGCAAAATGTTGTAAAATGAGGAAAATATAGCCCTGTGAAGTTCGCAAATTTTGTATATATTTGCATTACACGTGGGAAAAATAACCATTTTTGAGCTGAAAGTGGTTATTAGCGTGTAATGCAAATATATACAAAAGTTGTGAACTTCACAGGGCTATATGTTCTTCATTTTACAACATTTTGCAACCACACTTTGCAGTTTTAATCATTCTAAGATGCTCTTTCTAGCTGTGGTGTTGGATTTCGTTCTTCTTGCCTAGGTCAAAATTTAGTCTGTAGCTGCAAATTCCCTGCCAGACATTTTCCAGCACTGGATAAGAGTTGACATTCCAATGCGAGCAAGAGTTGCAACTCCCATCCGACTCTCATCCTGATGAAAAAGTGGTCACAGGGGTTCAATTTCAGCAAAATCTGAGGTATAGACCCATTGCACTGACGTCACAAATCCTTAGAGTGTCCTCCAGATGCTCCCTAACACTATCTGTTCGGGTACAACAACCATATACAGCACATACATTAACCATTCTAATACAAAATTATTATAAACTTTTACAAAATTTGCTTTGTTTACAAAAGTTATATTACTCATAGATTGCTAATTTGTCCTCCAGATGCATCGTCACCGGCGCTGTGACGTCATGTGCAATGGGTCTATAATTCAAACCAATAAAAGCTCAAGCTAGTGCAAAAAGCATAATGGACAATCGTATAGGAACTTACAGGTGATTCCATTTTGCTTTCAATGTTTCTTGTCAATTGCAGTACTTCTCTGAAAAGGATAAAGGTATGCAAAATAAATGGTTTTATAAATCTAAAACAATACAGGCACCAACAGCTGTTACAGTTGATTTCACATAACTTTTCCCTGAATGTTGCAAACTTCGTTCCAAACTTTGTTGTGAAGTTCAAAAGTTCACGCTGAAATTCACAAGCCGGTTAGTAAACAAAGCCTGTGATTGGCTTATTTTTGTTCAGGGACCAATCAGAGGCTTTGTTTACAAACGGTTTGTGAATATCATTATGAAATTTTGAACTTCACAACAAAGTTCGGAACGAAGTTCGCAACATTGAGGGAAAAGTTATGTGAAATCAGCTGTTAAGCTCATTCATGATTTTAGTTTTTTAGTTGTACCTTTTAAATTACATTGCCACTGTGTAGGTGAAACTTTCATCCCTTGCTCATATAAGAGTTGCCTGTGAGAAAATGAAATGTAGCATTTACTTCAGTGGGCCAACCCAGAAAACATCCATACCTTCCAACAGAGGAAATTGGAAAATAACCCATTGACAGCACTCTTCCTTTGATGAGTAAAATTGTTTGGCATTAGACAAAGTAAGATAATAAAATAGGGTGCATCAGGGTGTATTGGGTCATTCCAGAAAACATCCATACCACCCCCATGGAGGAAATAGGAAGTTAACCCCCCTGCCCCTTTCGGATGTCCTAATACATTTACTATTATCAGAAACAATTTTTTCTCCCCTCCCCCTCAAATTTCCCCCGTGGGGGGAGTTTATGTTTGTTCGAGACAAATTCTCACCCACTTGGGTTTGTGCAATGAATTTGTCTATAATGATGGATCTTTTCTGGACCGACCCATTACTCCCTTTGGATTTCCTAATACACTTACTATTATCAGAAACAACCCCCCCCCCCCCGGATGGCAGAAATTTCCTCGTTGGGGGCAGGGAGGATGTTTTCTGGAACAACCTTAAGGCCCGGTCACACTACACAACGATACGATAAATTGTAAACACGCGATAATTGGCAAAAAAAATGTGTTAGTGTCCACACTACAACGAAAATGATAAAATTATCGTTGGACGACAACGATTTTAAAATCGGACGATAACAATAATTTTTTTACCAATCAGCATGCGTATATAAGTTATTGTATCGTTATTGTTGTGTGGTGTGACCTGGGCTTAATGGTTAGCGTAGAGCTCTCCCCTTGACGAGTAAGATCGTCTGGCGTTTGACAGTAAGATTGTGTGGCTTTAAACAGAGTAACATAATAAAGTAGGGTGCAACACAAGTTAATGGGTTAACTAGACACATGGGCAGATTAACCCATGGAGTCTTCCCTTGACAATGTAAAATTGTCTGGCGTTAGCCAAGATGCATTAGGGTGCCTTAGTGGGTTAGCCAAATATGCCTACATCTAATGCAAAAATTTGACCAATTTTACTTAACAAAATAAAACTGTCTGCCATTAGAGCAAAATAACAAAGGTACACTGCAATGCTTGCAACATGAACAGTTCAAATTAGAAGGGATTTTAATATTCAGGTAATGTTTAGCATCAGCAGAAATACGCCCATTTTTACAATGTTAGCAAATTTAAGGGAATAGAACATACGTATAATGTTCTGTAATGAAATGTGAGGACAGTTTGAGTATAGACCGCCCATATTTTAAACTTGTAACAAATCAAAACATTTGCACGGAAATGCAGACTAAAATTTAACAGACGAACTTTGAAAATTTGCAAATATAGTAGAAACACCGAATTGGACTTTCTTTCGAGATTATACAGATGAAAAGAAATTCTGTCGAATTTACGATGACTAAATATTTTCGGGAGCCAATTCTAGGTTTATCCGGAAATCGTCATAAAATACTGTAGCCATGTCAAATCGTGTTTTAAATGCAAACAGGAGCAAATTTTGTGCAAGTTCGCAACGAAATCGTCCACGGTATCGCGGTTTTGGCGAGAATTTATGACTTTATACACAAGTTTATCTCGAGCGATTTCAAGTTGTTGTTTATACAGATAGCATGTATATTTAAACGTCCAAAGTTGGCGGCTTCTAAAGTAAACTAGGTCGTTTAAACTTCCCCTGGCTTTTGTTCGGAAACAAATATATATATTTATACATTGAAAATACGTTGTGTGAGGTTTAGTCGCTTGTGTATTTTCGTATTTATATATACTTCGAATGGCAAATATATACGCTTCAAAACCCTTGAACTAATGTTAAAATTAAGTACTTTTCACATAAAAGCAATTTAAAATAAACCATATATACTAAACTAAAAGGTTTAGATAATTTCTTTATAGTAGGATGTTATTTGGAACGTGTACGGCCTATAACAATGCATATTTATGAAAATTCACAATGGCGTATTCGCGGGCTAGCAAGAATGACTTTGAGGCCACAAACATTCAACGTATATGAGTTGAAACCGCAATACAACACAAAATTTGAAAAGGGAGTATAAAATTATGCAACGTTTGCTCGAATTCTTGCTACAATATTGCAAAATGGAGTGGCAAAATGCTAGCAAATAGCTCGAGCGACGAGCATTTCAGCGTGGACACGCTTCCAAGGTTTTGTGACATATTTACAGCACTTACCGTTGAAAATTTTCCCCAGAAACTCTACTTTATTGCATCCGTTTGAATTCCCCAGAAAGTCTTGTTGCTTTTAAACTTGCTCTTTCAAGATGAAACTCCTAGAGCAATCAATAAACGTGAATTTCCTGGTCTTGTTTGGCCGTCTTCCGCACCGATGAACCAGCTTAGATAACCATGTTGCATGCAAGTATAAAGTATATTTTGCATCCGAAGCCAGTCATGGCTCATAATTTATTGACAAAGCTTTTGTTCCTCCTGCAAACATGTGACTCTACACAATTATAATATTATAAAAATACCCGTAGGCCCAGCGCCAAATATACCCCTAAAACTATTGTTTATTTTACAGAAGTACTACAGTTAAATTTGTAAATTGTACTGCGGTATTTATAAATTGACAATACCCGACATATTTCAAAGCAATTTACTAGGTTGTCGTATAAAAATAGCAACAGAAAAACTCGCCTGTTTTATCTCGATTCCGTTGATTTTAGGGATAATTTCGGACGTCTATTTTCATCTGTTTTGCAGCAAAAACATGGCGGGTCAAAACTTGTGCTCAGCAAAATAATTTGAACACGATTTCGCGAGTTCTCGCGTGACGTATTCCGCGAATCCCTTCACGTGTTCACGTGCGGCGTTTTAACGCAAAGCGCCAGTGAGCTCAATATACACCTGGAGTACGATTTGAAGTGAATTTTGAGGTTGTTCCAAATAATTGCATTTCAGGTCCAACCAGTGTTACTTCAGGGAGAAACCTAAACTAAACTCACTTTATTTACACTGGATAGCTCTATCAGTTCTAAACTGTTCTTCCCAGAGATCCAGCAAGGAACATCTCTTATTGATCCAGTGATATTACAGGAGGAAACCTAAACTAACTTCAAACATCATTAATAATTCATAAGCTTATTGGCAAACATGTCAACCATAATATGTCACATGCAGTGGCTTTAAACCTGATAAAACACTCCTAATTAGTATTCTTTATATAAAGAATACTAATAAGGCAGTATCAATTGTAGTCGTATCCTCATTAGTATTCTTTATATAAAGAATACTAACAAGGCAGTATATCTATTGAAATTGTAGTCGTGTTTGAAGCCATTTAATAAACGAGCAGGAGTGTTTTATTAGGTCTAAAGCTACTCGCGCTGCACGCTCGTGGCTTTAAACCTAATAAAACACTCCTGCTCGTTTATTAAACAGTACTTTATTTATGCTGGATAGAATTGGATAGCTTTATCAGTTTTAAACTGATCTCTCTAGAGGTCTAGTAAGGGCCATCTCTTATTGATCCAGTGTTACTACAGGAGGAAACCTAAACTAAATTATTTACACTGGCTAACTCTATCAGTTCTAAACTGTTCTTCCTAGAGATCCAGTAAGGATCATCTCTTATTGATCCAGTGTTACTACAAAAGGAAACCTCTACTAAACTATTAAAATTAACTCTATTTATACTGAATAGCCCTATCAGTTCTGAACTGTTCTTCCTAGAGGTCCCTGAGTAAGGTCAATTAGTGATCCAGTGTTACTACAGGAAAAAACATGAATAAGCAATAAGAGTCTGACAGACTACAAAAAACATGCATGCAAAGCATTATAAAGTTAGAATTCTACAGTATTCACAGGGTATATAAGGCGTCATAAGTTATGATCTTAAACAAGTACTAAGCACAACTACAAAATGAATCGCCTCATTTCTTCTTAGCATTTGCGAGAAACGGTAACTTTTCGCTATAGTCTGTTGGGTTGTTTAAAAAGTCAACGTTGAATAACAGATCACTCAACGCTTGCTCCGTGAACATTTGTTCTGGCTTTTCTGATATCTAAAAAGGCAACAATGAAATAAAATTGAGTTATCATTATATGTACCAGAGGTGTGCATCGGATCGGATTGGACGTTTATAATCCGACAATAGACCTTTCCCCTTATAACCAAAATTTTGATCTAGGCAAGTCTAGACAAATATTTCACCACAGCTTGAAAGAGCATCACAAAATTAGTAATATTCCCAAGTTTCGTTGCGAAATGTTGTAAAATGAGGAAAATAGAGCCTTGCGAAGTTTGCAATTTTCAGTAATTTTGCATTACAAACGGGAAATTGCAGCCCCAACACCCGAATCGGATGTCAATTTCCCGTTTGTAATACAAAATGACTGAAAAACGGCAAACTTCGCAAGGCTATATTATCTGCATTTTACAAGATTTTGCAACAGAACTTTGGAATATTACTAATTTTGTGATGCTCTTTCAAGCTGTGATGAAATTTTTGTCCAAATCGAAATTTTAGTTATAAGGGGAAAGGTCCATTGCCTAATGTTTAAAATCCGATCCGAAATTGTCTAATCCGAATCCGATCCGAGTTGTGATACAGAATTTCAATCCGATCCGAAGAATCCTTAAAAACAAAATAAATTTCTCATTCAAGTTGAAATGTTTAACCAAATCAATAGAAAAACAAGAAATACATGTCAAGAAGCTGACAAAATGACGTCCAATTGAAGTATCAAACGAAAAATGCAGCGACAACCGCGATCATGCTTTGATAAATGCATGGATAATTAATTCTTGCAATAATGCGTGGATAATTCATTCATTTTATTTCGAATATCGAAGTCCGATCCGATCCGACTACGAAACAACTTTATCAATCCGATCCGATATGTATATTTTTGTTCCGAAATCCGAACGAATCCGATCGGATCGGATTTGCACACCTCTAACATGTACTACCTCTGAGTACTCCATAGAGTGCTAGTTGAGAAGGGATTTGTAGCCGAGTGGAATTTTTATACATTTATTAACCTAATCAGGAGTAGTTGCGAAAAATGCAACTATTGGCCCACATGCATGGCCGGATTTTGTGGGGAGGTGCACATCTCCCTTGAGATTGTTTTGCACCTCCCCTTGGGAAAATTTCAATGATAGATCAAAGTGAAAATTTGACATTTTTTGGTCGCTTAGGGTCTACACTTCGTAAGATTTTCTGTAAAATTGAAAGAGTGATAGCCATTCATCTCTGTGTCAAGTACCCTTTTAATGCAATGTTTTGAAAGAAACTTTGTAGTAATTGTAATGAAGGGCAAAATTGGACGAGTTGTGCAGTCATAATTCATTAATACACTGATACATATGTACACTACATGCAGGGACGTCGCTATAGTGGGTATATATAGGGTGTGGGAGTGGGGGTGTAACACCCTCCTAATAATTCAAACGTTGGTCAAAGTTGGTCAAAATGGAACTGATATTCGCCCAAAGTTGGTCAAAATAGAACAGATATTTGCTTAAAATTGAAGGTAAACTCGGAAAAATTTGGTCAAAGTTTGGGATAAAAGATGGTCGAAGTTGCTCAAAGTTATGAAATGGTTCGCAATTTTAACAATTTTAAAGCTTTTGTTATGTTTGCCGTGAGAAAATTGGAAGCCTTGCTTATCTTGGTCGAAAAAGTTTGAATATGCTTATGTTAGGCCGGAAAAATACCGACTACGCTTATTTTGTTTATTTTTTGGTCGCTCCAGGCCATTACGAATTATTTCTGCCAAAATCTGAAATGTTGTAAAAACGACACCTCTCTCTCCCATGGCTTTCTGCGGATTCCTGGATTTCATGCCTGGCTGCGCCGTTGACTTCCTGGTCTCCTGCTCCATAGGTAATACGCCTCTGACTTTTTTGCTCGAGTTAGATAGCTGTGGACTTCTCCCTAACCACCTATTTCCGGCAAAATCTGGCTTTGTTGGCCCTCTGGAATCGAACCTTCCTTTTTTGGTCTTCTGAAATCGAACCTGCGCTTCGCTGAATATATAGTTGAAAATTTGCTTACCGGTTTAAAATCAACATCTTTCGGAGGAAACTTAAATTCAGGACCAAAGTTGATGGATACCTATCAAAGAAATTGCTTTAGGATATTTGTGAACATATGTTCTGTTGTGATAAAAAAACACTAGGAAAAAGTACTTACTGTGGCGTTTTTATACAGAGAAATTGCCGGGTAGTATGTTCCGCCAAATATATTTTCCACTGCCACGCCCTAGAACCATGTGAACCAATTTGTGAAACTCATTAGTAATTCGTGAAGAAAACACAAAAGAAATCATGAGCTTGAAGGAGTTTGTACGTCTGATACAAAATCATGCTGATTTACATATAAACTTTAAATTCAATTTTCTCACCAAATATCATTCATTTCTTTTATATCCGATACAACAAGGCCGCTCATGTCGTAAATAGTACTTAATTGCACAAATTTACAATCTTATGACAATTTTCTTATGCTTGTCCTATCTGAGATAGTTGGCATTTTTGTACACTATATAGAACGTTTGCATTGACGCCAGAGCCGCCAGTTGGTGTTCCAATTCAAAAGAATTTTAATTAGACTCTTTTGTCTGCAATGAGTGCAAATGCTCTATTCCGTAAGGAGTTGTAACAAGTCTGTGGTTGAAAATCTTTAAACAAGTTAAGAGAACTACGCACCTTCGATTGCCCGTTTTGATAATACACGATCTAAAAACAAAGGCACATAGACCATTGTAGTAATAGTCGAACGTATATGTGATACGTTTAGAAAATAAATTAATAATTATGTACAAAATACTTAATATCCGGATACACTTCCCCTAATCTAAACGAGTTTTTCTGCAAAAGAAACACAATTCAGTCTAATTATATGATTTGCGTAGTAGCGATACAGGACCTATGCTTACCTACAAGCCTAACAGTGAATTTTTAAAGAAAACTTTTCGATATAGTGGTGCCATGCAATGGAATCATATTTCTGAGGATTCAAAAAATTCTGAAACCCTTTCTTCTTTTAAAAGAAAAATACGTCAGGCATGAACACCTCCTTTGGATCGCACCAATCGTTAAGTTTTTATATAACTCCTTTTCTATTATTCTTTGCTTCCTTGTTTTTCTATATAGTTTAACTTGTATATAGTTTAATGTGTATATTCTTTAATTTGTAAGTAGTTATTGTGTGACGCCCCTCATGAAAGGCAGCTCACGTTGATCGAGGCTAGCGTGTTTAAATAAAGTTTTACCATACCATACCATACCATACCATACCATACCATACCATACCATACCATACCAGGGGTCGAAATTCCCGCTATTCCAAATATACTAAAATGCGTGATGGAATAGTAAACTTCATGATCACAGTATTCCGTTTGTATAGTAGAAAAAATTGTGGTACCAAATATCGACAAGCAAGGGTTTTCCTGATCTTATAATATATCACTTTATACCCGACTTAGCTACTTCGCTTGCTGTACTTGCGTATTCTAATTTCTTTGCAGCAATATTATTGTCGATTTCAAGTCACTTTTCAACGCGTGGTTCCCCAGTTCGTTGCGAACTTGCCAATTATGTTTCCAAGTTCGGAAATTGGGCGCGAACTTCGCAACAAAGTTCGCAAGTTCATTTCGGTGTTTGAACTTTGTTTATTAATAATTTGTTCATCACTGACTGTACATGTTTATTTTTTGTTATTCAATTATTCAGTTCACTTTAGGAATCTCAAGGATGATTTCATGAAAATCAGAAACAGTACATTAAGAAATAGTGGATCTTCAGACGGAATAGTAAATATAAAAATCTACTATTCCGGCTGTATAGTACAAAAAAATTAAATTTCGACCCCTGCATACCATACCATACCATACCATATCATGCCATACCATACACCATATCATACCATAGCATACACCATACCATACCATACCATGCCATACCATACCATACACCATATCATACCATAGCATACACCATACCATACCATACCATGCCACACCATACACCATATCATACCATAGCATACACCATATCATACCATAGCATACACCATACCATACCGTACCATACCATGTTACTCACCATGGCTATAAAGTATGTCTGTTCTCGGCACACCTTATAGACACGGTGTTGCAGCATTGATTATAGAGCCGCATTTGGGGTAAGAGTGCTGTAGTTTCATCGTACTACCACCTCGTAAACACCAACCACGGTAAAACGTACCTTACTGCCTTCCAACGGGCTCAATTCCTGGAAGAGACAGTTAAACAGTATACAAATAACGAATGTTTATGAGTGCAATGGTAAGAATATTTTCATGAGGTGAAAGATGGAATGTTCCATTCAACGAGGCGACAGCCGAGTTGAATGGAACATTCCATCTTTCACCGAATGAAAATATTCTTACCATTGCACGAATAAAAACATTCATTATTTGTTTTATATAATACCAAAATAGACTAATATTAAAAGGTTTAATGTAAGCTCCCGCCATTTTGACGAGTCGTATTTGCATTAAATCCCATTTACTGAGTTTCGAATATCGGGTTAAAATAAACTGCGATCACCGTACGAGAAGCATTTTGACGGATGCGATTTATCAAAAACACAAAGAGTGCAATGGAATAAAACGTATAGTACAATTGCACTCGAAAAAATTGCAATGGAACGTATTCCATTGCACTCTTGAGAAATGGAATTTTCTATTTAATATCATGTGACCATAAACAGCCAATTAAACGATCAGAATTCAATAAGGTATTATATAATAATTATTTAAACGTTTGACAAGGACAATAAGAAAAGCAAAAGTGGCGATGCTATATTCTAAAATCGTGAAATGCTATACTACTCACTTTTTCTGTTTGATCGACGCGATCTTTTTCTTCGTAGTAGAGAAAACTCTTAAATTTTATCAAAGCCTAAAATCCAGAATGTTTGGAAAAATATTAACAACCACAGTATATACTTCACTACAAAATCCAAATTACATGCATGCTTCACGCAAGCTCGCAATGGTAATATTCAAGTAAGGTTTATTAATTTCTTACATTTGCCTTGTATGTCGGTGGTAAAAACATGGCTGAAAAAGAAAGATGAATCGAATAAGAAGAGATGGAGCAACCATAGAATACCAAGCCAAAAATTCCATGACAATATCAAGCGACCTGATCCTATCTGTCTAGTCTTGACCCACTGTATCCAAAGGCTATCAAAGTTTCTGTGATCACAGTAGGAATTTTGCATAGGTAAATTCTAAGTTTTGAAGGATTTGTAGGAAATGTTTGAGGAAACTGACTAACTGTTAAACACTAAGTCAGACCCAGGGACTGAAGCGAAGCCATCAACATTGGGGAGTCATGTTTTGACCAACATTTCCTAGGATTTTGACCAAGTCGTACAAACTTTCAAAAAAAAATTTCCGGACTAACATAAGCACATTCACCGCAAACATAACAAAAGCTTTAAAATTGTTAAAATTGCGAACCATTTCATAACTTTGAGCAACTTCGACCATCCTTTATCCCGAATTTTACCTTCAATTTTAAGCAAATATCAGTTCCATTTTGACCAACTTTGACCAACGTTTGAATTATTGGTGGGGTGTTACACCCCCCCCTATAGCGACGTCCCTGGTCAGTCCCCTCAAACATTTCTTTAAAATTCTTCAAAACATAGAATTTACTCATGCAGAGTTCCTACTGTGACCAGAGAAACTTTGATAGTGTAAACCAGTCTATCAAGGAAGTTTAGTTAATTACAGTACGTCTCTTCCTGTAGGACTAGCCAAAAAAATTTAACCCGATAACGGATAGCACCGGAAGTCTACGATTTCCTATCTGATTAGTGATTTTGATGAGAAACTTCAACCCATCATACCTCCAGGCTGGTTGTTTTCGGGCAGACTTATAAAAATTCCAATAACATCTCCTGTCGCATAACCGTCACTAAAATACAGACAAAGCTGTTATCACCAGGGGCACACATTAGAGAGCTTTACGCCTGTATTCTAAAAGCATACTTACACTGACACTCAAAGAGTGGAGGTCCAATCTGAGCTTCCCTTGAGTGTCAATGCTGTTTTTGAATAGCTGTAGGGTTAGTGTCGTACCTTACTAAGTGACTACTCACCCTCTAACTATTCAAAAACAGCATTGACACTCAAGAGAAGCTCAGATTGAACGTCCACTCTCTGAGTATGAGTGAGCTTTTAGAATACAGGCGTTAGATTTGACTACGAGTACGACTAGCGCTACGAGATTTGATGGCGTGCGAAGAAGTCGTAGTTGTTGTTGTCGTTGCCGTTCAAATGTTCTAACTAAATCTCATGCAAGTTATAATCCCCTACAATACTAGCCCCTTCTATGAGGAGTAATACACGAAATAGTAAAAAACCTCATCTTGATCAACTTTTTCACTCTCAAAGTTTCCGGATATGATGTCATTAGGTGAATTTTTTATGCAAAAAACAAAGGAAAACTAATTTGCAAATCACCTAATGACATCATATCTGGAACTTTGACAGTGAAAAAGTTGATCAAGATGGGATTTTTTATTATAAAGATATATTACATTTCGTCTTCGAAAGACCCAAATATTACAAATACCAAAAATCGTATTTGTGGTTAGTCGATCTTTAAGCGCTTTCTCAAACAGTCTCATCATTTTACATATTGTGTATATGTACTCCTACCTGTAATGTTTTCCACGACTTTGATGAAAGACCGTTCCTTTTTTACTTCGAATGCTGTAACCAAACTTATCATATCCCAACGGAGCCTGAAGATTGCCTGGTACAAGAAAATGAGTTGAGCAAAAACATGAGTTCTGACAGGGACAATGTGACCGGTGCACGTCCGACCGTTATTTCAAACCCTGGTACTAATTCAAAATACAGCAGGAAAACTAACCATAAAGTTGCGACCATCCAACTCTCGATGCTGTTCCCTCAGGCATGTCTTCCACTGTCACCTTAATATTATTGAGAATAGGGTTGGGCGATATTTAAAAAATCATCTCACGATTATTGTCAAGGAAATTATCACGATATTCGATAATATCGCGATAAATGAAATATTTTATTTATTTTTATTACCACATTTTTCAATTTTAATTAATATCAAGGGATAGTAAACTTATATATAGTCTTACTAAAAACAAGTAATTAACAACACTAAAGTTAAAGTAATATGAAGGCTTTTTCTAGTCTAATATTTACTGTTCATAAACCAGAACTGTCTATATGCGGTGTCTACTTTGTCTCCGCTGGTTCGCCTGTGATTTCATTCGCTGTTTTACCTGCAATTTCATTTCATTTTATCGTATCGAATTCGTATTTAATTCAGGAAATAGTTTTAATTCTTTTAAAAACTATATTTTCTAGGATTTATAAAAGCTATATACACATGCGAAGCAATATCACGATAGTCATCGAGCATGACGATAATTTCGATATATCGTCGCTCAAGTTTCTACCTTCGATACAATAATCGCGATTGAAAATATCGCGATAAATCAAAATATCGAAATATCGCCCAACCCTAATTGAGAATAGGATACAAGGTTGGAAACTGGAGAAACCTTGTTACGTTTCAAAAATAGTTTTATTGTTTAACCAATTGAGTGGCAATGTACTCAAAAGAGTGGCTTATTTATTATATCTCCGGGATTATTCTATATGGACAATCTTAAATTACACAATCTTAGGACTCTCAAGGACAGGCGCCAGAAACTTTGCAAGAAACATTTCAATGCAGTTGTATATCGAATACTGATCATAAGCTTCATCATCTTCTACCATCGAAAAAACACTCCAGTATACAAGCTAAGAAGACAGCGTCCTTTCGATTGTCCAGCTTCACGAACTAATTGTTATAAAAACTGTTTTATACTCTCAATGTCAAATGAGTAAAACTTTACTAAAGATACCATTCCTCTTTAACGTTTTATATACATGTGTATACAGTACGTACTATGTATGTATGTGTGACATATCATTTCTAAATTTTAAGTAATTCAGCCATTGTAGACTGCAATGTAAAATCCCCTTGACGAGTAAATCGTCTGGTGTTATTACACAGAGTAAAATAATAAAGTAAAATGCGCTTTGTCACTTAAAGAGTTAAAGGAATTAGATTATCTAAACCATTTCTAATGATGTAATGGACGACTTGCGCTTTAGAAAAATTTTTATCTCGGAATAACAAAGGATATTTTCGGGAAGAAGTTATCAAAATTAGAAAAACTGCAAAGTTTGGTTGCGAAATGTTGTAAAATACGGAAAATATAGCCCTGCGAAGTTGGCAAATTTGTATACATTTCTATTACGTGCGGAAATTGGTAACTAATTTAGTTACCAAATTCACGCACGCGGCACGTAATACAAAAGTATACAAATTTGCCAACTTTGAAGGGCTATATTTTCCGTATTTTACAACATTTCGCAACCAAACTTTGTAATATAACTAATTCCAAGACGCTCTTTCTAACTGTGGTGATAGATTTCGTTGTTCTTACTTAGATTAAAATTTAGTCTAAAGCGCAAGTCGTCCATTGAAGTTCATAAAACATTAACAACTATTCTTCCACCAGTATTCTAGGAGTATTGTACCTCACACAATCTCCTCCCTAATAAAACCATTTTAAGGTTAACCCATTGAGCGCCAGGCACTCTCCCTTTGACAAGTAAAATGATCAGCCGTTAGACAGAGTAAAATAACAAAGTAGGGCACATCTTTTGAGGCTGCAATGTAACATGATGGGTTTAACCCTTTAAGTGGCAATGCGCCCAGATGCGCCCTACTTTATTATTTTACTTTGTCTAATGCCAGATGATTTTACTCATGCATCAGGGGGAGAGTGCTGCCACCTCAATGAGTTAAATAAATTAGTAATTTTGTACCTCAAAAAACCAGTTTCCACGATTAACACCTAAACCAAAGGCAAAATGAAACAGTGACTGACCAATAATCGGTATCGGGCCGATTCTTGCCTTATTGGTTGATAATCCGAATTGGTGGAATTATCTGTATTCCAATCTGAATGTGCAAAACTGAATGTTGAGGAACTACACACTTTAAAAATTATTTACACTGCAAGTTGATACATGTTGCGTTTTAACGCATATGTTAAATTAATGCGTAAAGGGCGCCATTTATGAACGGTTCTTAATTAATAACAAACTTTGGTTGAAGTAACTTGTTACATTGGAAATTATCATTAAAAAATCGAAATGAATGACATCATCTTTACTTGGTCAACCAACATTATGACGTGTTATAAAATCAGAATCGAGTACAGTTGATTGTTGCATGAATAATTGGCAGTCGTAATTTCCGATCGTGGCACAATCGGTCAATCTCTAAAATGAAACATAAATACATGTAGTGTACATATACAATATACTTTATATCAAACTGAACTTACCATGTGTTGCTCTAACCATGCTATAGCCTTTTTCACCAGTTACAGACAAACGATCATCTGAAATCTTCAGCTGCGGTGCTGCATAAAAGTAAAAAGTTAACCTGTTTGAAAGTGATTTGAGTATGAATTCATCATGCTCGTCATTCGTCATACCTCTGTCATGTGATGTCAGATAAACTTTATGATGTAAAGCAACTCTATATAGTTCTCCGGGGATAGGTTTGCCAGCCCAAGACTCTAGGTCAAAGTTAGACTTTGGTGCATTCGGATCTTCCTCGGCTAGAATGTATCTGTAACCATCCTTTGAAGAAACACATCAAGATGGATGAACTTTTACCAACCACCAAATAAAGCAAATAGTAACTCATTAACCCATTCAGCACCAGTACTCTCCCCTTGACGAGTGCTGTAATGTTGTCTGGCGTTAGACAGAGTAAAATTATAACAACTAGTGGTTGACTCATAATTGGTATCAGCATCGGGCTGATTTTTGCCTTATCGGTAGAAAATCGGAATGGATCATTCCAGAAAAGATCCACACTCCCACGGAGGAAATTTCTGCCGTCCGGAGAGGGAGGGGAGAAAAAATTGTTTGTGATAATAGTAAATGTATTAGGACATCTGAAGTGGGTAGGGGGGTTAACTTCCAATTTCCTCCATGGGGGTGGTATGGATGTTTTCTGGAATGACCCAATCGGTAGATTGTATATATTTCGATTGTTTAAAACTGATTGTTGAGAAAATACACACTTTAAAAATTATATGCATTGCACGTTGGTACATGTTGCGTTTAACGCAATATGTTAAATTAATGTGTGAAGCGTGCTATTTATGAACTGTTTTAACGATCTTTGGTTGCAGTAACATGTTACGTTGGAAATCATTGTTAAAAAATCGACATGAATAATGTCACCTTCACTTGGTCGACTGATATTATGACGTCATTATAAAATCGGTATATGGCAGATTATGGCATGAATAACCAGTAATTTCTGATTGTTGCACAATCGGTCAATCACTAATAACAAAGTAGCCTGACAAAATGCAACTTACTTTATTATTTTACTCCATCGAATGCCAGACGATTTCACTCATCAAGGGCACTGGTCACTGGGTTAATAGGTCATAATTTTCTGAAGTTGGTCAAGAGATTAGGACATTGCAGATAAAGATTTAACTATGTGAAAAATACGAGAATTTCTCCTTGTATTTTTCAGACAGTTGTATCTCTATTGTTACCGACATTTTGTTACACTACACAGACTGTTCAAAATTAACCCATTAAGCTGCAGGGCTTCCCCATTGACAAGTAAAATGTATAAGTAGGGCGCACTGTTACAACGTTAGAGTTAGACAAGTAAAAAAAAAAGTAGGGCGCACTGTTAAGACGTTAGACAAGTAAAAAATAAGTAGGGCACACTGGGGCGCATTGCGGCTCAATGGGTTAACTAGACACATTGTCAGATTTTTTGGTTAACCCATTAAGCTGCGCCAGCGGGGCTTCCCCATTGATGAATAAAATTGTCTGGCATTAGACAAGTAAAAAAAAATAAGTAGGGTGCACTGGGGCGCATTGCGGCTCAATAGGTTAATATAAATAATATAGTAGTTTCCTTACTTTATTAAATGGATGTTCTAAGGGATAGCCATGGGATGGCAATCTCTGTTGAGCTGGTTCACTATAAATAACAACATCAAAATTAGGAATGCACCAGCTATCATATCTGCCTGGATATCTGAGCCTGATAGTGAGGTAATCTCATTATCCTGAGTATTTGGCTGGATATATGAAATATCTAGCCAGATACTGTGGATCGAGACGGATTCAACTGCCTGAAAAATCCAAGGTCTAGGTCTCGATTAAAAGGTCTCGATTAAAAAGTCGAAGTTCTCACACACCACTGGGAGCTGCTGCAGCATCAGCCGCAACATCAGCCGTATGCAGTGTCAGCCATATTTTTCAGCCGGTTGAATCTGTATCAATCTGCATCTTTCTGGTGTTATTTGCAAGCTTAAGCAAGCAATGTTTTTGTCAAAACGGACGTCAGATTGCCAAGGGGGGACCGGATTAAAAACTGTATTTGTGTCAGTCTGTGGTAATCTTCAAAACATATGGCAAAACATAAGGTTTTTAAAGTTTTTTGCTTCCTTGCACAAGCGCTATGATGCGAAATACAGCCCAAATTAGTTATACCAGTTTTGTTATACCAGTTTTGTTATACCAGTTTTCAGACGAAGTCCATGTTGAGAAAAACGTCACTTGCTCAAGCTCACTATTGGCACAGACACACACACACAACACTGTTCGAGTTTATATCTTGAATGATTAGGGCTGAACCTTCTTTATAAAATAACATGTATATAACGCGTGCTCTGATTGGTCGAAACCCGTGTTTGGATCAGGCCATCCAAACACATAAATTTAAAGTGAAAGTTTTTTAAAGTGAAATTTTAACACGGAAATTTGTTATTTTATAAACAATTACTTTATGGTTTCCGTGTTTGGATGGCCTGATCCAAACACTTGGGAATGTTGCTCGAGTTAAGAAAAGCGTGCAAAATCACTCGTCTTCGGCTCGTGATTTTGTGCGCTTTTCTTAACTCTCGCAACATTCCCGCATGTTTGGATCAGGCCATCCAAACACGGAGACTATAAAGTAATTGTTTAGTAGCAAATATCCGGCCGAATAGTAAATGTTCTATCTGGTGAACTCCTATTCTTTACCCCTTTGATTTCTTTGTCGCAGATGTTCCTTGACCACTGTCAATTTTTCTCTTTCCCTTTCTACCAAACTTCGTTGTTTCACTTCGACTTTTTGTACCAGTGCTTCCATAAGGCGCTGGGGCAGGTCTAACCGACGCTGGTTTGCTGGTGGTCATTGCGATGCTCTGTACTTGTTCCTGTTGCTTAGCGACAGGTAATGGCATCTCGTGTTCTGGTAGAGTGGATTCCGTGCTCACGGCTATGACATCTTTGACGTCTACTTTTTCTTCGGAAGTGATTTCTTCCGATGCCATCTCAATGTCGTTCACTATTTCAAGCTAGGAAAATACGTGCAAAAAAGCACAGATTTTGTCATTGCTGTCCCTAGTACTTCGAAAGGAAATGTTTAAGCTCTTTTGGGAGTTTTTTGTAAACTTTTTATACCCAAGCAAAGGGTCTGTGGAAATTAATTTTCAATTTTTAACATTAAAGTTGAAAAGTTCTGGACTGAATTACAAAGGCGTATTAAAGCCAGGCTAAACTTTATCGCTATCAAAATAACTACCTGAGGTTTCTCTCCATCTTTCAATCTCCCTGGCACATTTTCAATTCCATCCTCATCGCCAATTTCTATCACTTTTGCGGACATGTTTTCTTCCAAATTTTCCGCCATCTTGGAAAATCAAGTGTAATCTAGTACTACATGAAGTACTGCAGTGTCCAAAGTAATTAGACCCCAGTCCTCAACGCCAATTTGGCTGTATTAAATGGACCGTTTCACCAATAGCGACGCCATCTTGAATAGTGAGGCATTGTGGTATAGACGTAAATGTAAATTATCGTTCAAGGGCGATCAAGGGCATTCAAGAATAGAAATAGGTCATTTAATTTCACCAACGTCATGACACTTGACAAGCATAAAGCTATCGGACCTTTCCCCTTATGAGTGAAATTTGATCTAGATATACTTGGGCAAAAATTTCATCACAGCTTGAAAGAGCATCACAAAATTAGTAATATTCCGAAGTTTCGTTGCGAAATGTTGTAAAATGCTGATAATATAGCCTTGCGAAGTTTGCCGTTTTTCGGTCATTTACTCATTTTGCATTACAAGTAACATTTTGCATCAGTTTGATCATCTGATTATCAATTTCCCGTTTGTATAATATCAAATGACTGAAAAACGGCAAACTTCGCAAGGCTATATTATCCGCATTTACAACATTTCGCAACATTTCGGAACTTCGGAATATTACTAATTTTGTGATGCTCTTTCAAGCTGTGATGAAATTTTTGTCCAGACTTGTCTAGATCAAAAGTTCACTCAAAAGGGGAAAGGTCTATTAAAGAAGCGTTGCACTCAGACTTTTGCCGGGTTCACAACCGGCCGGCCAACCGCGAACATTCAGAAATTCGCACTGTAATTTTTGTTACAAGTTGCAAACTGCCATTTTCTTATAGCTGATACCACGGTTAATAGACATAGATTAACCGTGCTCACACATTGGTTAATGGTTAACAACATGTAGGTTCGAGGCCGGCCTTCGAGTTAGGAACGCATTCTATTGCCATTTCAAGTCCTGTAGAGCAGAACCAAAAAAATTTGCGCCACTTTAAAAAATTCATATTCGAAATCTATGGCCTATGGGCTTTTTCCTGATGCTTTACTCAAGTATAAACAGACCGTTCCTCGACATGAAAATTGCAGGTCTTTCCAAGTGGGTGTGTTATCGAAAAGAATTTGAGACTTAACAAGATGCAAATTTAAGTCTTAGGCGCGCATTCTATTGCGTTTCAAGCCCTGTAGAGCAAAACTATGAATTTGTGCCACTCTAAAAATTTCAGTCATGTTCGAAATCTATAGCCTATTAGCATTCTGCTCATGAAAATCGCAGTTACTTCCAAGTGTATTATCGAAAATAATTTGAGACTTTAACAATTAAGATGCAGATTTGAGAGCTATAGGCGCGTATTCTATTGCGTTTCAAGCCCTGTAGGGCAGAACCGTGAATTTGAAGCACTCTAAAAATGTCAGATTCGAAATCTATGCCCTTTAGGCTTTCTGCTGATGGTTTACTCAAGTTTAAGCAGGTTGTTTCTCGACATCACAATCGCAGGTCTTTCCAAGTGTGTCATCGAAGAGACTTAACAAGATGCAGATTGGAGTCTTATATGCGCAGTATATTGCGTTTCAAGCCCTGTAGAGCGGAACCTCGGTTTTTAGCGCCTAAAATGAAGAGAATGCGCTTGAATATGTAAGCTACCAAATTACTCTTTTGCTAACTTTAAACTCCTTTAAAACTGCCACTTTTCGATCACACACTCGGAAAACTTGCGATTTTCATGTCCTGGCACTGCGACTTTATACTTGACTAAAGCATCAACAGAAAGCCTTCTGCATGGCCATACATTTTGAACATGAAATTTTTAGAGTGCCGCAAACTCATGCTACTCGCTTATGGTATAATATGGTATAGTTTATTTCTGCATTGCATTTTTCTGGGCCTTTTTAAGAATTGGTCGGTGGGGATCCACAAAAAGGGACCATACTATATTGAGTGTGGAGAGATGACAGATGGTTGTTGGTGACAAAAAAACTTTAATTAAGTTTTCCAGGTATTTTTCAGGTAGTTGGAATCCGCAGATTTGAACGGCCAGCTTATAATAGTCTAGACCTGTAAATCATAAGTATTCTCTAGTTCTAATCACTCCGCGTATTTCAGTTCTAAAATGTTGTATTTCGGCTGATGAGAAAGATCGTGACTCAATCTTTACGACCATATGGAAACCAGCTAGGTTTTACGCAGGTCTAAAATCAGATTCTATCAGAGGTGCCAACATATGTGTTCTTGGTTACCATGGTAATGTATAAATTCTAGGAAAAAAAGTTGGCAGCTTGTAACAAAATGACGTCAGAACATTTTTAGCAAATTTTCAGCTGTTGGCTGGCTGTATATGGTATTGAATCACAGAATAAACTCGGATATTGGCTTTATTAACTTAATTCCTGACTTTAAGTACCATTAATCATTGATAAGTGTCATGAAACTACGCGACTAATATAACACATTAATACGTCATCAAATATAATGAAGTTAGTTACCAAGGGCAAGGGAGAATTGAGACCTTATGATTGACGTAAATCGCATTTGAAGGTACGTTTCACACGTTTTCGACAGCTTAAGGCCCTGTCACACAATTGCATATCGTACTATAGCGTATGTTAGCGTATGAAAAATATCCGACTCATAAGCTGGAAAACGCTGTCATACGCTAGGGGTACGTTAAGGCCATGTTACACGGTGCAATTTTTCTTGCAACTTGCAATGCAATTCTACTCTTGAGAGATGTAAAATTGCCAAATACGAGTCTTCATAACACTCCGCTGATATTTTCTCTAATTTCTCTAATATAATTCTTCACTGATTTCACTAATTAATAACATCTCTCAAGAGTAGAATTGCATTGCAAGTTGCAAGAAAAATTGCACCGTGTAACATGGCCTTTATAGACATAGGTTGCATTAATTTTGTATACGTTTCAAGCACGGTCGCATACGATGGCATTCGCTGGCACACGGCGAGGCAGAAAGTTTTTTTAAGCATGCTTGGAAAGTTTGTACGTATTCGGACGTATGGTTGGCGCTAAGCATACTCTAGGCACACGCTGAATACGCTAGAGGTACGCCAGATGTACGGTACTCATTGGTACGCCAGATGTACGGTACTTTGGCATTCGGTCAAAGGATTTTTGTACGCATGAAAATTATTTCATTAATTTCCCCATACGATTCTCATATACGTTTCTCTCATACGCAATAGTATGACAGGACCTTAAGGGTCTCCACAGACTAGAGTGATTTGTTGTGACAATTTGTTATCGACAACTTCTATATTTGTCAACTATTAATTTTGTGCGATACTACTCGAGGGCCATCGCGTGAACTACTAGTACTGCCTTCATTAAATAAAGTTTCTTTCTTCCGGCTTAATTAAGTTCCTTTACTCCCCACACACTCGAAAAACGCCTTTGTCGACAATATTGATTTGTCGACTAAATGTCAAATTTGCCTTCGAAAAAAAGGGAAACTACTTTGACTTTGTTGTAGACTACTAAAAATTTAACACATGCATTTTTATCACACACCGGATTTTTGGTCGTCGACAATAACAAACTAGTTGTCGGCGACTATTTCGCTAGTCTGTGGAGGCCCTAAGTAGCTAATTTCATGCTTCAACTTTGTCTTAACTTCGAACAGTTAACAGTTGACCTTAAAATACGATTTGAAGTTTGTCGTCTCATCAACTCTCATTCTCGCTTGATCGGGATTTAATTTATGTTCTGTCATTCTTTCGTTTTTGCTTATCAGTTCCCTTCAAATTTGTATTCAGATTTTCACCCATACCTTTATTTTTTTCTACTGTTTATTTCTACTTGTCTCTACATACTAGCCCATAGTTAACAGTTAGACTATATGTACAAATATGGAAACTAGTTTCACAGCAAATGTAGCTCATTCCTCTTGGTAACCATGGATGTATTTACTGATGTGACCAGGATCCTCATTGCTGTAGAAATCTTCGATGTAGCTCAGAAATGTTGTGACATCAATTTTCTTGTTGTTGTTATCTGTTAAAAACTGATGGCATAAAGCTTTGCTGTTCTTTGTTACGCCTAAATGAAATGGAAATAAATTGGTATACTGCATGGTATATACATGCACGTGAAAGCGCGCAAGTTATACAGAATGAGATCTGCAAATAAGTTGTGTGTTGTTGTCAAGCCAATATCAGGATGTGTTCGCACTGCTTGTTCCCAGTTTTCGTGCAAATCTGGAACAAGTTGTTAAACGATATAGAAAGGCATTTGTTCTGGACGAATATTTTTAATTTTTGAACTGGCTGAAAAATAATTCACTTTTTTGGTCAAATTCGAATATTCAGTTTCAAGTTGGGCTAAAAGAATGCAGTACTTCAGTCAATGGCCAATATTGTTTATCATGTCTCATGATTAAAATATTGTTACAGTGCTGCTCAGCCGTGTCCAGCAGCACATGACAACTAAATTAACTTCTTCACAAAGTCGTCAACGTTAAACTGTTTGATTAACAGCCATATGCACGAGTGCATTATTGATCATTTGCCAGCATTAACATCGTGTGACATCACTTTTCGCTTTGAATAGAACGGAATACGCATCACGTCATAAGTCATAACAGTTTACGAACACAAACAATAAATAAATAACTTGGACTTGGTGTTTTATCACAAAGCAAAAGATATATTGTTTTATAGGCAGGTAAACTTCCAAACGGAACTTAGGAACAAAATAATTGATTTAAGTTCATAAAAATTATATTCGTGTTAGGCTCAATAGTCTCTTATATAATTGGTCTTCTTAGACTCCTTAGTTAACCGGAGGACCTTAGTTAATTACTTCTTGTTTGAGTGAAACTCAAAGACCTCCACATATTAATAAAGTAAGGCTGTTTAGAACAGCCCTTTCGTTCTTTCAAAAACCCTTTTTAATTAGTCGTGGGACACTCTAAACTCATGAATAAAAGTTGTGCTGAACAAATAAATGGTATTTTATACCGACACAGCTGGTTCAATAATTCATGGCTAATATATTTATTGATGGTTGTATATTCATCTTTCAAGCGCGTCAGGGAGTGATTTTCGCAAGTCGTCATGGCACGCAATTTCACCCCCAAAGTATTCCTTAGGCTAAAAACAGGCTCAATCGGGCCGAAAGCTTAACCAAGTCCCACCTGGAAGTAACTCTAAGCCATCCTCAGAAAGTACACCATCCTTGCTCGACCAACATTTCACATACGACGACCGCAGGGAGTCTTCAAACCACGAGGGAAGAGCGCCATGTTCGACAACATGATCACGAATTGACATATTGAACGCCATGAACTCCTCGACGGATATATCTGCGTGATTTTTAGCAAACTTTGCCATTTCGGTGAAGTATTGCATAGCGGAGGGTACCCAATCCGAATCGAATTCTGCGATACGCTTTTCTATGGCGTCGTCTGACAACCCCTGGCTTTGCAACTGTCGTTTCAAAACGCTCTCGAGCTGTTTGCTGTGAATCCCTGCGTCCTCTTTGATTATAAATCCACCACGGCTGTGTTGAAACGACTTGAATAAGTGCATGAACTTTCTTCGCAGGAATTCGTGTCCGTTCGCTTCCATTGTTTCGTTTGTTCTGAGCGCGAGAACGAGATTACGTCTACTATCCTTTATTCAGTATTGAATGTAAACAATGCGTGGTTTCGTATGAGCTCAAGTAGCGTCGTCAAAATAATAAAGCAATCTTTGAATTTTAAAACTTTTAATTTGCGTTTTGGTCGTGTATCGTGTCTCGCGTGTTCTAGTCGTGCGTCGTGGATAAAAAGTCACGGGACCCAAAATTTGTAAAATCTCTTGGGTTAATAATATGTGTTCACAGAAAAGACAAAGAAAGTCACTCCGTGGTTTTATATGTGATAAAAAATCATGTTAATATATACATAAACTTTAGCCTTGATTTTCTCGGCTTAGACAACGTTTATTTTTAAAATTACTTCGCCAATGAACTCATAAGATGGGTCGTTTTGAAGGCCATTTAAAACACTCGCAGTCCGTGCATGCTTTATCAGATCGCCTAGTGTTTTATATCTGATAAAGCACTCGTGCTCGTATTTTTAAAGGCCGATTTAGGCCTGTTTTATACGTCGAATTATGATCGCGTCGAATGCAATTAAGACAATAGATAATGAGATGATAAAACTAGTCATTAATCGTCATTATCTATAGTGTTTGAATTGCATTCGACGCGACCGAACTTCGACGTATCAACAGGCCTTATTTTTAAAAAAATTAAATGCTATAAGCACTACGCTGAACACAAGAGGCGGAAAACACAATTGAATTGAATTTTTAATTACCAAGAGCAAACTACAATCATGGAAATTAATTCGTAGACTTTTCAAAAATTTCCTAAATTCCCCCCCTCCCCGTTTACAATGTTGGCCTTTGTGGTCCAGTAGTCATGGTTTTGAACCAACATTGTGCTGGGGGGGGGGGGAGTTACTATTTCTAGCAATCACGAACGTTTGTATTAACTAAAAATAAATGGCTTTACAAAATAGTAAGACAAGACAGGTTTTAAAAAAGTCTACGGATATTATTTCCACGATTGTATATTGTGCTTAACAACGATAGATTGATTTCTAAAGGTCTTGTTTTTTTATACTCCCTGTAATCAGGGTTCGTAATCTCCGCCAAGACCAAAAAAATTCAAAGACTTTCAAAGATTTTTTCTGCCTATTTTCAAAGACTTTTCAAAAACCTTTGAGAGCAATCACAATCACTATCAGCTGTCGAAAAATTGCGAGTGTAAGCACCATTTTTACCCGGTAATTAGTCCCGTCAAATCACATCCTAAAATGCGCCTTTTCGTCGATATTTGCGAAAATCTTGCTTCAATCAATTTTCAATTTACTTTATTAGCTAGAAGATCGTATAATCAAACACTCACTAAAGAATTTAAGAACTTTTAAAGACTTTCTTCGCTTTTTGACACAATTCAAAGATTTTTTCAAGGACCTTAAAGACCTGTATTCAAATTTACTGAAAGACTTTCAAGGATTTCAAAGACCGCTGAGAACCCTGAGAAATATTGGGAAAGCATTATATAAGAACAGCTAACCAAGTTCGCGTAACTGCCAAACTCTCATCCTCTTTTAAAAAATCCGAAACAAGGAATAAATCACGTCTGTTGTATCTATTTGAAATACTATAAACTGCAACCTCGATCCACGATCCACGACACACGATCCACGACACACGAATAAAGCTCAAAACTTCTTTGAACTTTAAAATATTCGGACTTCCTGGTGGTAATCTGTTATCAACAATTTTAATAGACAATAGCCTTCTGTATATAGTGCGATGTAGTTTGCTCGCTCGCACTGTGAACTCGGGGATTTTGGTAATTAAATAATAGCAGGGTGACAGAATTTTGCAATCTATTATCATGCAAGTTTGGGCATGCCATTGGCATGTGAAAAATAAGATATTTCGAAATGTTGGTGAGAAACAGAGTATGGATAAAATTTCAGGCAGTAGGCTCTGGGAACTTGGCAAATTTCGAAATTCGAAGCATCGATACAGGATGTATAAAAAGAAACGAGATCTTTAGTTGAATCAAGCTATATAGCCTATATCTCGTTGCGCTGCGGTCGATCGATCAGCCGAACCATTTTTATTCGAACTGATGATATGACTAATTTGTAGTTTGACTTAGCTGTTTGTAAGGTTATTTGAAAAAGTTTCAAACATTTATTACAGTAATAAAAGAATATTGCTTAGCGCTCATTCTCGAGCTGTGAATTCAAACCGCGTCATTGAGCCGGCCGCGTCATTTTGCGTTCAGCAGTTCAGGTGAGATTTTGCGCGGAATTTTGCACTCAGACGGAGCAGAAATTTTCTTCGTCTTGTGATTTCTCGGGTGGAGCTAATTTGAGAAGACGAAAAACCGGAGTAAAGCCCTGGGCAAACTAAGAAACATTGTTGCGGAAACATTGTTTCCTGCCAATGTTTCGCCATGTTTCCCAGAGTGGGCAAACACTAGGAAACATTAGTGAGAAACATATAGGGAAACATCAAATGTTTCTGAATTTGCCAGGAAACATTTTTGCTTCTCGGGAAGCAAATTTTGTTTCCGCAACAATGTTTCCACGGGTGGGCAAACAGGGAAACATTTGTGGAAACATCGAGAATCACAAATGTTTCCGCAACAATGTTTCCTAGTTTGCCCAGGCACATTATTTTTAATCTTCACACATCAAAAAACATTTCCATTTAATATATATATTTGACAAAACTGTATCTCGCATGAGAATATTGAAGTTCATACATTGAACTATTTAAATACACATATATAGTTTATATATAATAAAATCATGAGTGTGCCCGCACAAATAAGTAATATAATTATGTTTTCTGGCACTTGGAATATCAAAAAACCGAAGCGACATTCCCGCGCGATCGACAGATATTAATCATAAACCATGCGCAGTCACCGAAATTGACTGTACGAACTAGTTGATACCATCACAGTTTCAAAGAGTAATACAATTGGTTCCGAAGCTCATATGAAGAAGAAATGTAATATATCTTTATGATAAAAAATCCCATCTTGATCAACTTTTTCACCGTCAACGTTTGCAGATATGACTGTCATTAGGTGAATTGCAAATTAGTTTTCCTTGGGTTTTTTTTTGTACCAGAGATTCACCCTAGACTTGATCATATCCGGAAACTTTGACAGTGAAAAAGTTTATCACAATGAGGTTTTTACTATAAAGATACATTACAATTCTTCTTAGAATGATCCAAATTACACGATGTTGCACGGAATCATTTTCAACGGCGATTTGTAATGCAAATTTGTTTCAAAAAATTTGATTGCTTCGGCAACGCGTTGCGAATCGTAGTTGAAAGTTATCCTGAGTGACGTTGCCTCAATTAAGGCTGGTTTTCTGTGATCACAGTAGGAATTTTGTATAGGTAAATTCAAAGTCTTAACAACAATTCAGTTTTCTCAAACCACAGTTAATCAGCATTCTATTAACTGTGCTCAAACATTTCTTACAAACCCTTCAAAACTTAGAATTTACCTATGCAAAATTCCTACTGTGATCACAGAAACCTTGATAGAGTACGTAAAACCAACGTAAATGTTAACTAGCCCTAGCTTAAACCGAGTCTTAGCTATCGAGTCTATCGACGGCTTTTTTATCGAATATTTTCCGCACAAAAACTAATTATATAAATGTGCGCAGTATCTAATATATCTCGTAATCGAGTCTCTTTGTGTCTTTCAAATCTTCAACTATCAAAGTCTAATTCATATATAATGTATATACACATACAGTTCAAGTGGCGTTTGAGCATGCGCAGCTCGTTACCTTGGCATTGTTCACGTGACGTAAGACGACATGCTGCATGCTATCAAAGTACAGCACAGTTAGTTTTTGAAATTTCGACGGCAAACAACAAGCGGAATTTGAACTTGCGGGCAAGGTTTGTCTTGCTGTCATGATTGCCTGAGCGAGTGCCTGGATCATCGGGTCGTTGCTCGACGGAACGGTCTGCCGTTGCCGGCAAACACCCGTTTTAAATAACTTTGGAAGTATGAAAATGCTAGCGCTACTGTTAGCGTTGGTCAGATTAACAGTGACGTCTTCCATAATGCACGTGGGTGTATTTCGCTTTGATCGTCGGAAGATGTTCGACATACCTTCGGAAACACTTCGAGACATACTCGGGCTACACACGGGACATACTCGGGATGCTGCCCTTCGGAACATCTTCGAGACAACCTCGGCACTTCGGGCCATTCTCGAGATGCTTTCGGTATCTCGTCGGAAAATCTGCGAAACACCTTCGGCATTTCGTCGGAAGGTCTTCGAGATACCTTCGGTCGATCGTCGTTTTCTCGTTTTGAACTCATCCGTATTTGTAACCAAATAAGCTTCGCTGCTAAGACCGCTGACTACATTGGAACACAGGTTCTTATCAGTAGTTGGGTTTTGTAGGGTTATTCGAACTTTCAACTTCGTGTCTGGCTTTAATTTTGCAGCCAATTTTCGCAAAGATTTTGTGAGGATAAGAAAGTTTACACCAGAATGTCGAGGAAACATAACGTAATCTCCAAATATTTGTCCGGTTTTCTGGTCCATTACTCGGATATTTAGCCCTGTGAGATTACAGTGATTTTGCTGTGGGATATCCAGTCGAAGGCGAGCGCGTCTTAAATTCTCGCGTTGTAAAAAACCCAGCTCGCTGAACGAGGCTTCGAAAGTGACGGTGGAACGGTTCACGGCTGCAAAAAATTGAAGGAATTGTTGGTTATCGATGCAATTTAATATTTTTCAAATAAAATCTTTTGTGATATAATCTCATTGAAGTGCAGGAATTTTTTAAAAACTCATTAACATAATCTACGTTTCACATAAAGTATAGAGCCGGATTTCTCAAGCAGTTGCTGGTTGAAAAAAGACAATATAATATATTTGTCAACACTTCTGAGAATGATTTGGGCAGAAAGTTAGAAACAGACGTAAACACGCTTCAACGTATTACATATATTCACTCTTAACCCAAGTCGCCTTTTGAACGATGTTAATATATTCACCCTTTAACCCAAGTCGCCTTTTGAACGATATGTTATAAGCTTGTAGAACGCCAGAACATTTCCACTAGTTTTCCCCTAAATTTATTTTTGTTACAATTTTGTTACATTTTATAATTCGCAATAAAAATTTGGTTTGTCTCATTCAGCAAAAGAACTCTTAAAAGTATATATTAAAATATATTACCGATTTGTCATACCTTGCTTAGTTCTCGAAATATTTAGACCGAAATTAATGAGCTGTCCGCCATTTTGACTAATTCTTGACCTCATTAACTATGGTTTTGATGACGTCAGGAGTTGGATTAACCATGTAAAATTACTCTAAAATGACCGAATAACAATCCAAAATTGTTTGAAATGTTTTTAATAATTTCTGAATTTCAGACAGCAACCAGAAACGAGGTTTTGGACCCATATTGATTCCTTACTCTCAAGATAAAAAATTAGCGTGACCCCTCTCTTGACGTAACATGCATATCCCCTCATTAATCCAAGATGGCGAACAGCTCACTTCTTTCAGTCGAAATATCTTTAAAACTAAGCAAGATATAAACAATCTGTAATAAAGTTTAATATATAGTTTTAAGAGTCCTTTCAAATGAACTAAACTATTTTTTATTGCCAATGTCCTTTAAGGAGAAAAGCGTCCGTCGTTCTACGGTTTTTGGCCAAGATTGATGGACACGCATAACTATTTTTATGTCTAGATACAGGTAATGAGAAATATAGCAGAATTTTATAGTGGAATTAAAATAATTTTATTTCACACGAGTCTAAATTTCATCGCCATCTACTCGCGAACTATTCCAGATTTGGGACATCAAATAACATCGTCCAAAAGGTGACAATATAATCTTAGAATAGAACAAAGGTAACCAGGCATTTAACCTATATACAGGATATATGCAGGCAAGTGTTTGGGGGAGGGTAAACACATGATAACGTTGGGATTAGGTCTTTAGTATGTTTAGTTTGATGCTAAACCACTCAGGCTATAAGATTAAATACACTCTGTACATGTTTAAAGTTCTGCGCGCTTTTCTAAAAATATTTGCCAATTTCAATGACGTGTTTCAAACAACATCCAAAACAAGCCAATTATCTTAAAATGATGGTTAAAATTATCAAAACCCGAGCGCTTTGCTGCATCGAGTAATACAAAAATTGCGGACTATATTCAGTATGTCGTTTTCTCTAGATTTTAAAGGACGACTAAACATTGCAATCTTGTATACGAGTTATTGGCTGATGTAGATCATTCTAATAGTTAGGATTTAGTACTTTTTATTCTAGGTGATCCAAAGTATAGGTAGTATCCTACAATAAGCTGTCGTGGTTTGTGTTTGAACTACCTGAAAAATCCATCTCAAACGTGGTGGTTGACCGTGGTTCAGTGTAGGTAGTATTCTACAATAAGCTGTGGTGGCGGTTTGTGTCTGAACTACCTGAAAAAGACAGTTACCGCATATATAACCCCACGAATGGCTTTCGTTTAGATCCGATAGTTCATGCGACACAAACCACGAAAAGCTGAAACAGCCAGGCAGCTATATTTAAGGCTGGTACTTCATGTACTATCTATATATAAATGATTCAACTCACCGATTGCAGCATTACTGTGTACGATATTGGAAAACGGAGCTGTTCCCGACAAAAACTGGTTATACAAATGTCGCATGAAACCGGGAAACCTTTGGTGACCAATAGGGTTGCCTTTAACCAGTACCCCTCCACACGTTTGCTTGCAAAAAGCCAAGACTATTAGCAAAATAACCGCTGTATACATACTGTATCTTCTTGTGCTAAAACAATGATTGCTTACGCTTCGAATTGTCCGTTCTATTGTCAAATATTCAAATATGTTAGAGCCTCAAATGATATGTCCTTTTGTTACGAAAACCAAGCTTAGTCTTCGAAGTATCAGTTACAGTACTAGCGAAAAATGAACGAGTTTCGACTTGCGGTAAGAGCCAAAAATGGCCTGGCTTCGAGTTGTATCCTTTTGATGTAAAAGCCAAGTGCATTCACTTGGACTTTTTGTTCGCTGGTAGCTAAAATGGTCAAACGTCGACGTAATGTCCAGGCTTTCAGTCCAAGCTTTGTTTCTCGAGTAGTTTTGAGGCACGAATGGTTAGGAGCTGAAGTATGTCGCTGGTTATATACACTCTCCAACCCACACGCGTTGTACGAATTTCCGTATGGAGAATTAATCCTTGCCTTGCTTGTCTATAAAGACCCCCGGATGGCTCGCCTGTGTAAATAAAGTATTTTGTTTTCAAAAACAGGATTGCTGCCCCTCGAGTTCAGTGGATTTCCTTGGCTAGAATCGAGTTAATCGCTTAATACCAACTATACTAATTTCCCTTCGGAAACACAGAGGAAATCAGTAGAGATTGCTCAATATTAAATATTCATTTTTTTAAAAAAAATTTCAATTAAATTTGTTGTTAGGGAGTGTACGCGTTTAAGTAGCTGACCTGATTGTGTTTTAGCTCGAAAAAAAAAGGTGACTTGCAGATTAATAAGTGTTTATTATAATCTGTTCTTCATTTCCGCTGTGCGCATTTTATGCAAATGAGTCTTGAGTGGTGCATTTAAAATTCAAGATCTTTCGACTTGCTTTAGGGTTTTTTTCTCCATACTTCGTAAGATTATTGCAAATTTGTTGGACTCATACCAAAATACATGTAAAATTGTAATCCTAGACCTCAAAAGCTACACGAATATCCCAACAAAAATTTCAGTTATATCGTTGTTGCCTTCATAAGACCGTTAGGGTGTTTGGGAAAGGATACGAGTAAATTTGTTCTGAGAACAAATTGCTTATTTGTGTCCCTTTAACGTTTTCCAGAAAGTACATAATTTTATACATGTAAAAATTCTAACGATTACGAATTGTTACGGATCTTGATTAGGACCAAATATGTGTGAATTGTACAAACGCATTCCTTTATAATGTAAATGTTATGGGATTCGTAGTTTTACTTCTAATCTAGGCCAGAGCGCGCGCTTGCAAAGACAGCGAGATAATGTTGCGCGTAAGCTAACGCGCAGTCTGTACAATGTCAAGCGGAATGTCAACTGAGGTGGTCTGGAAAGTCGACATGCAATCTTCAAGGACGGGTTAAGAACTAGAATGTGAATTGATGAGAGTTTTAGTTTATTGAGTTCCCCACAGATTGGTGAGCGGATTTCTATTGCCCAATAGACCTTTCCCCTTATGAGTGAAATTTTAATCTAGATATGCCTGGGCAACAATTTCATCACAGCTTGAAAGAGCATCACAAAATTAGTAATATTCCGAAGTTTCGTTGCGAAATGTTGTAAAATGCGGATAATATAGCCTTGCGAAGTTTGCCGTTTTTCAGCCGTCATTTTGCATTACAATCTAACATTTTGCATCAGTTTGATCATCTGATTATCAATTTCCCGTTTGTAAATATCAAATGACTGAAAAACGGCAAACTTCGCAAGGCTATATTATCCGCATTTTACAACATTTCGCAACGAAACTTCGGAATATTACTAATTTTGTGATGTTCTTTCAAGCTGTGGTGAAATTTTTGTCCAGACTTGTCTAGATCAAAATTTCACTCAAAAGGGGAAAGGTCTACTGATAGGGGGATCCGAGGGACCTATAACCTGAGAATCAGGCCCTTATGTTTTCATTCGCCAGGACCTATGAACACGGTCTCCCAAGTTTGAAAGGCAAGCGTGGTACTACGACATCACAAGTGTTGCCACAGTCACGAATTGTTACAGTGGACATTTCAAACTCTACATTAACAAAATAAAGGTTTGATGAATGTTCCAATTATGTTTTAACTTAAATAGAACACATGCTAGTGTTGGGAAAACATTAAGAACAGCTAACCAAGCTCGCGTGACTCTCGTGCCTCGCAAGATCCGGGCTCTATAATCCACGAGCAAATATGGAAGCAATAATGATGAAATTTTGATAAGTATTTTGGATAAGATTTAATCTGGCAATTATATTAACGGTCAATAAAACGAAGTTCAAGTTCAACTGGCAAGCATGCGCATTCGAGTTCATGTTGAACAATAGGTCCTCAGCGGTATAAACTGATGATGCAGTCATCGCAACTGTTTTTTTCAAAACACAGCAGAAGAGTACACTAGAAGCATGCCCCAAAGGCTAAGCCGAAATCCAAAGTAGGTAAAGCATGCACGAATGCGGGGGACCAGTGTATTGAGTTGTCTACAATAATCTTCATTTTCTAATACTTTGTTTTCACTTGGTTTATTGGATTTTTTACACGTGAACAAGTATCCCAATAGGACCTTTCCCCTTATATGAGTGAAATTTTCATCTAGATAAGCCGGGACAAAAATTTCATCACAGCTTGAAAGAGCATCACAAAATTAGTAATATTCCGAAGTTTCGTTGCGAAATGTTGTAAAATGCGGATAATATAGCCTTGCGAAGTTTGTAATTTTCAGTCATTTGGTATTACAAATGGAAATTAAAAAATTGATAATCAGTTTGATCACCTGATTATCAAGCTGTGATGAAATTTTTGTCCAGGCATATCTAGATGAAAATTTCGCTCATAAGGGGAAAGGTCTATTGCCGAAGGGTTGTCGAGTTTTACAGATGTATTCTGCGCCAATTCGTAAAGAGATTGTCCTAACAAGATCTCTCCAGTACAGAATATACAGTTAGCTTTCGGTTGAGTTTTCGTTCTGTAGTAACACTGGATCAATAAGGGATGATCCTTGCTGGACCTCTAGAGAGAATAAGAGATATTAAGACACTCGCAATAAAGTTAACTCTGAATTGTACAAAGCCAAAAAGAGGTATTTTTGCGACAAATTTGAGGATTGTGCTCAGACTAAAGATCCTAAACAAAGTTGGCACCATATTAGTCACCTCTTGGGGGTAGGAATTTTAAATCAAACAACCTCCCCCAATTAAAATAGGCGACACTATTATTTCTGATAATTTAATGATAGCGGAGACCTTTAATGACTTCTTCGTAAGCATTGGGACAAAATAACCTATACATATTGACCATGATGCTCTGGACTTGTCAGAAAATCTCGGTACTAGTCCAGTGACTCTATTTACTCTGTCTGAAATAAGTGAATACGAAGTATTTCTTTTGTTAAGTAATCTTAAAACCTCAAAATCGACAGGCATGGATTCTATTCCCGCAAGGGTACTTATTAAAAATCTCAGTTGAAATAATTAGCCCTTAAGGCTCTAACGTGAATTTTTAACCTTTGTATCAAAACCGCAGTCTACATAGATGATTGGAAGAAGGCTTGTAGCTACCTATCTTTAAATCTGAAGATAGGAAAAGATGTGAACATTACAGTCGCCCAATATCAATCTTACCGATTATTAGTAAAATTTTCGAAAGATCCGTTTTCAATCAATTGTATGAATTTCTTAACGCTAATAATCTACTTTCTAAACATCAATTTGGGTTTCGCCCAAAATATTCTACTCTGGCAGCACTCATTCAGACGTGCGAATGTGCGATGCTTGGTATGAGAATATGGATAATAGTGAATTAAATGGTGTAGTTTTTATAGATATTCGAAGAGCTTTTGACTCTATTAATCATAATATTCTTTTGCGCAAAATGAAAGAGAGAGGGCACTTTTGAATTGATATATACTAAGAGATGTTTGCAAAACATCGGGAGTTGAACTTCGCCTAATCATGTTTTCTATTTATTGGATGATAGGGGTGTGAGGGGGTTCTCCGCCAGGCGATTGTGCTATTCTTGAAGCCCGATGACTACATTTCTTGCATTTTCTGAAGCAAATTCGTAAACTGAAAATTGCACTAACATTTCTGACAATTCGCTATTTCGCCAAGGCAATTCTTTAAATTGAAAGGGCACCTTTGCCCCCCTTGCCCCTCCTGTTACAGGGCAACGGGGGCGGCTGCCCCTCCCCAGTTGCGGCGTCCCTGGATCAATATATAAAGGATCACATACTGGAGCTTTAGGGAGAGCAGTTTTGAACAGATAAATAAACTTATTTTAGCTTAGTTAGAAATTTTTCTTGGCAGCTTTTCTCGTTTACTTTTTATGTCTGCATGCACAGATGCGCAAATTTCTTAATATATACGCCACTCAGCAAAGCTTTCCTTTGTTTAGTCTTCCGATTCCTCACCTAGCGGTTTAATATTGCAGTATATCCGAAGCCTAAACATTACCCTCACCGGTCAGCATTCGATTTTTCCCACACAGGATGGGACCTTAGCGGAATGTAAAAATGCTTTGATGCTTGTTTATATTAAAATTCTTGGCATAGTCTATCGTATTTGTGTTGCACTTTACACCCTTTAATTCTGTCATTCAACTTCGAATTTGTGTACTTAAAGTTTTTGTGTTAAAACTACCTGGTATAGAGATTAAAAAACAGAACAATTCAAGCAAAGAGCTTTTCTTTAAAAAGAAGCAGTGGGGGACTCTCGCTCCTTAGTGGAGAAACATGCCCCGGAGCTAGGCAAACTTATCAAGGTAATCTTGTATGAACCGTCTGTGCATGTGTTAGTGTAGGTGATCAATATAATAATGTTTACAACTTGAGTTGTACTGTGTAAATCAAGCACACAATTCACCTATGATAAGGGACCGTTCATTAATTATACGCCAGGGTGGGCTGGAGGAAAAAGGTGTTAATTTTTTCATGACCCCCCTTCTAACCGATAATTTTTTTCACTGCCCCCCTATTTGGGGGGGGGGGGGAAGGGTCAAAAAATTTTCCGGACGAACATAAGCATAGTGTAAAAAATTTTCCGGACTAACATAAGCATATTCAAATTTTTCCACCCACATAAGCAACACTTCCAATTTCTTCACCACAAACATAACCAAAGCTTTAAAACTGTTAAAACTGCAAACCATTTCATCAAATGGTTTTGGTTGTGAAGACTTAATATTTGAAACTGGTCATCCTAAAATATTAATAATTACCACAAATAATTTTGGCAACCCCCCCCCATTTCATGCTGAAAACACTTTAAAAGCCCCCCCTTCTAACCATAAATTGTTTTGGCAACCACCCCTAATTTTCCTCCAGCCCCCCCTGGTCCTTAATTAATGAACGGTCCCTAACTAAGCGAGTTGTGTGCTTGATTTACACAGTTCAACTCAAGTTGTAAGCAGGTT